GCATCATGTATTGAAAAATGTATCTGAACTTTTCGATCCGTTACGATTATAAACTGAAGCAATATAAAAATGAGCCCCATTAACTGAGTTTTAAACATCACTTTAAATGGAAGATCCCCCATAGCCCCGACCCACCCGATCCGATCGGAGCATCCCTAGAAATCATTAAGTGGTGTTAATATGTGGAGATTATCCTGCTGAACAAAACGTGTTAGTATCATAAACGTTTGTTTGACACAGAGATTATTTACTGCAATAATCCAAAATTCCACTGAACCAGGGAGATGCTGCCTTCAGGGTCCAACAGACATCTCTGCACCACTCCATAGTAACACATGCAGGTGATCACTAACACAGACGGTGTTTCCTCATCATTCAGAGTTCATAAGTAGCAACCAGGAGATCCTGTGGGCGCTCCACTCGAATTACAATGACCTATGAGTGTTTAGGAGTCTGGGAAGAGTATTTCCCCGCTCCACAGCAACAGTTCAAACCAAGAAAATACTTTGTTAGCATCAGCTTCCCTTAAAAGTCCTTTATGTGATGGTGTGACCATGTGTCCTGCAGACTGGCATCAGAAGTCAGCTATAACAGAGTTTTTTTTGCTGCTTTTTTCCATATTTTGGTTGTTGTTTGAAGCACAGTTTTGGCACGCCAGATGCTCGGCTAACGTTGATTTCAGCAGCTGTAGTGCCGCTAACCTCGTTCATGACAAGAAGCGAGAAGAAAGGGAGAAAAGCGAGCGCTAAAAAGGGAGAAAGTGTGAGGAGGAGATCACTGCACAGTCACTACCCCAGGAGTCAGACAGTAAGGTCAAGTGAGGAGAGGGCGGGGCTTCAGATGTTTTCTCTCGAGGCGTCCTCCACTTATTCTTCTGCTTGCCAGCACTTGCCGAGCACAACAAAGTTCTATGTTAGACATGTACAGTACGGGTCCGCAGCACGTAGAAACTGCCGGATGCTAACCTGCATATGTTGGACAATTTGCACAATTAGGATAAGTTGCAGACAATAGCTGAAAAATAATGGCTTGGTTGATTTGGACAATTGTGTTGTGGTTTCTAAGGTATATTGAGGATGTTGAATCAATTCCTGACCCTTGTAGCATCAAAAATGTCAGTTATGAGTCCCCTATAATGATAATAATAATAATACATGTGACTTGTATAGCACTCTTCTAGAAACTCAAAGACGACCCAAAATTCATCAAATCAGTCCTTTCGGAGGTACAAATATGGCCACTTTCTGTTTAAAACTGCCATTTATGATCCAAAAAAATGTCAAAAACTGGTCCAACATACTCATAACCTCCAAAGCCACTCAAAAACTGTCCAAAATCAGCTGAGTCGTTTTTTGAACTACTGTCTGGATATGCTAATTAACACAACTTATGCTAATTGTGAAAATTGTCCAACATATGCAGGTTAGAATCCGGCAGTGTCTATCTGCCGAGGACCCGTATTATACATTTTCGGGTTCACAACAGGACTCAAATGAGCTGGCAGACAGGATGTATCTTTAATTCGGGATTAAAGAGCTCCTGCCTTCACTTCAGGATGATGTGGTAACCGTCATTCGAGTCATCTGGAAGGAAAAAAGGAAAAAGAAGGGCCGTTATGAATAAAAACCTGCAAATGATAAAGTTCATCAAGCTTTAAATATAGAAATCAAATACCTTTCATGGTGTCCAGAACAAAACAGACTTCATCCTGGAAGTTCTGAATCATCTGTTAAAAGAGGAAATGGGTAGAAAGATGGCATTTTGAGGGGTTTTCCGAACTTCAGTGAGGATTTTTTTAAAGATATTTTGACATTTGATCCTACTTTTACATTGAGTTAGCTGTAGTTTGGCCGTTCATAGTGTTTAATTGACAGATGTGTATCTTTCACTCTCAACATGTATGTATTTTACATTTCATTTCTGTTTCATTTTCTATTTTGAGATGTTTATATTCTACGTTTGCTCCTTTATTTTAACATTATGTGCAATACCGCAATTTAACATGCTGCTGTGTCGAAGAAAAATCCAAATTTGGGAACAACAAAGACATTATTATACTTATTTTGCCAAATCCAAGAACTACAATTTTCTAAAATCTCGGCTGCACTTAGATTCTGATCCTGAACACACCACCAGGGATTTCTTTTATTCCAAATACATCAAATCATCAACTAAAATAACTGAGAAATTTCACAAAATATGACAATCAACGAGATTCATTTTCAAATCAAAGCTCAAAAGTATCTCATGCATGGTCAAATATATCACAGCTGCAATCAGGGTGCACAAATAACTTGAAAATATTCAAATATGATCAGTTTTTAAATAGATTAGCATTGTTTTTTGACTGGTAAAAGGAGGTGATTCAACAATAAACAAATGTTTGCTGTCCACAACAGACACATACTTATTAAAGTTGTATCAAAGTCTCAAACAAAAATCTTCAACCAAACCCCCTGATAATCTACAATAGACTGGGGTTATGGAGAGCCAACGGTTAAAATTAAATAAAGATATTTGCTTTCTCAGCCAATTTTGCATTTAAAATAATGCAAATTGTTCTTCCTTAAAATTGGAGAATATTCTGTTGTTGTTGTTGTTGTGTAAATCCACAGGGGGTGTTAGTTACCTCGTCGCTGACCAGCACGTGGATGCCGGTGGGTCCCTGTTTGAAGATCTGATTGATTTGTCGTGGCGAGATGTTGAAGAGCTGAGCGATCTTCTCCGTCAGCTCCGAGGAAGTGAGCTCCTCCAGGTAAATAGCGTGATATACTGCAGGAGGAACACAAAGGTACAAAGATAGGATTTTAATGAGTTTCTACACAGTAACATCTCTAGTTGTTGATGCACGTTAGGTGTGGAATAGATATGGAGCTACAGCTGCTTAGCTTAGCATAAAGCCTGACAACTTAAGGCCTGGCTCTGTCTACGAGTAACAAAACCTGCACTTCAAAATTCAAATATGCAAGGCAAGTGTATTTATACAGCACCTTTCAACACAAGGCAATTCAAAGTGTTTTACAAAATTGAAAGACATTCAGAAAATGGCATTTAAAATCAGTCATTAAAAAGAAAAGCTAATAAAATAAACATTAAAAGAAAAAATACATGAATAAAAGTTACAGTGCAGTTTAAGATATGATCCTTTGCTTTTTGCACTAATTTCTTGCCCTATTCTTCGGTTTTCTGTTTTTCGATAGGGTCCCCGACTCCTATTATTAACACTTTGATAGAGTCCTGACTCCTATTGTTAACACTTTGATAGAGTCCTGACTCCTATTGTTAACACTTTGATAGAGTCCTGACTCCTATCATTAACACTTTGATAGAGTCCTGACTCCTATCATTAACACTTTGATAGAGTCCTGACTCCTATTGTTAACACTTTGATAGAGTCCTGACTCCTATTATTAACACTTTGATAGAGTCCAGACTTCTATTATTAACACTTTGATAGAGTCCTGACTCCTATTGTTAACACTTTGATAGAGTCCTGACTCCTATTGTTAACACTTTGATAGAGTCCTGACTCCTATCATTAACACTTTGATAGAGTCCTGACTCCTATTGTTAACACTTTGATAGAGTCCTGACTCCTATTATTAACACTTTGATAGAGTCCTGACTCCTATTATTAACACTTTGATAGAGTCCTGACTCCTATTATTAACACTTTGATAGAGTCCTGACTCCTATTATTAACACTTTGATAGAGTCCAGACTTCTATTATTAACACTTTGATAGAGTCCTGACTTCTATCATTAACACTTTGATAGAGTCCAGACTTCTATCATTAACACTTTGATAGAGTCCAGACTTCTATCATTAACACTTTGATAGAGTCCAGACTTCTATCATTAACACTTTGATAGAGTCCAGACTTCTATCATTAACACTTTGATAGAGTCCCGACTTCTATTATTAACACTTCGATAGAGTCCAGACTTCTATCATTAACACTTTGATAGAGTCCAGACTTCTATTATTAACACTTCGATAGAGTCCTGACTTCTATCATTAACACTTTGATAGAGTCCTGACTTCTATCATTAACACTTTGATAGAGTCCAGACTTCTATCATTAACACTTTGATAGAGTCCAGACTTCTATTATTAACACTTCGATAGAGTCCAGACTTCTATCATTAACACTTTGATAGAGTCCTGACTTCTATCATTAACACTTTGATAGAGTCCTGACTTCTATCATTAACACTTTGATAGAGTCCTGACTTCTATCATTAACACTTTGATAGAGTCCAGACTTCTATCATTAACACTTTGATAGAGTCCAGACTTCTATTGTTAACACTTTGATAGAGTCCTGACTCCTATTGTTAACACTTTGATAGAGTCCAGACTTCTATTATTAACACTTCGATAAAGTCCAGACTTCTATCATTAACACTTTGATAGAGTCCTGACTTCTATCATTAACACTTTGATAGAGTCCAGACTTCTATCATTAACACTTTGATAGAGTCCAGACTTCTATCATTAACACTTTGATAGAGTCCAGACTTCTATCATTAACACTTTTGATAGAGTCCAGACTTCTATTGTTAACACTTTGATAGAGTCCTGACTTCTATTGTTAACACTTTGATAGAGTCCTGACTCCTATTGTTAACACTTTGATAGAGTCCTGACTTCTATTGTTAACACTTTGATAGAGTCCTGACTCCTATTGTTAACACTTTGATAGAGTCCTGACTCCTATTGTTAACACTTTGATAGAGTCCTGACTTCTATCATTAACACTTTGATAGAGTCCTGACTTCTATCATTAACACTTCGATAGAGTCCCGACTCCTATTATTAACACTTTGATAGAGTCCCGACTTCTACTATTAACACTTTGATAGAGTCCTGACTTCTATTATTAACACTTTGATAGAGTCCAGACTTCTATCATTAACACTTTGATAGAGTCCAGACTTCTATTATTAACACTTTGATAGAGTCCCGACTTCTATTATTAACACTTTGATAGAGTCCAGACTTCTATTATTAACACTTTGATAGAGTCCAGACTTCTATTATTAACACTTTGATAGAGTCCTGACTTCTATTATTAACACTTTGATAGAGTCCCGACTTCTATCATTAACACTTTGATAGAGTCCAGACTTCTATTATTAACACTTTGATAGAGTCCAGACTTCTATTATTAACACTTTGATAGAGTCCAGACTTCTATTATTAACACTTTGATAGAGTCCTGACTTCTATTATTAACACTTTGATAGAGTCCAGACTTCTATCATTAACACTTCGATAGAGTCCCGACTCCTATTATTAACACTTTGATAGAGTCCCGACTTCTACTATTAACACTTTGATAGAGTCCTGACTTCTATTATTAACACTTTGATAGAGTCCAGACTTCTATCATTAACACTTTGATAGAGTCCAGACTTCTATTATTAACACTTTGATAGAGTCCCGACTTCTATTATTAACACTTTGATAGAGTCCAGACTCCTATTATTAACACTTTGATAGAGTCCTGACTTCTATCATTAACACTTCGATAGAGTCCCGACTCCTATTATTAACACTTAGATAGAGTCCTGACTCCTATTGTTAACACTTTGATAGAGTCCTGACTCCTATTATTAACACTTTGATAGAGTCCCGACTTCTATTATTAACACTTTGATAGAGTCCAGACTTCTATTATTAACACTTTGATAGAGTCCTGACTTCTATTATTAACACTTTGATAGAGTCCTGACTTCTATTATTCACACTTCAATAGGGTCCCCGACTTCTATTATTAACACTTTGATAGAGTCCCGACTTCTATTATTAACACTTCGATAGAGTCCAGACTTCTATCATTAACACTTTGATAGAGTCCTGACTTCTATCATTAACACTTTGATAGAGTCCAGACTTCTATCATTAACACTTTGATAGAGTCCAGACTTCTATCATTAACACTTTGATAGAGTCCAGACTTCTATCATTAACACTTTGATAGAGTCCAGACTTCTATCATTAACACTTTGATAGAGTCCAGACTTCTATTATTAACACTTCGATAGAGTCCAGACTTCTATCATTAACACTTTGATAGAGTCCAGACTTCTATTATTAACACTTTGATAGAGTCCAGACTTCTATCATTAACACTTTGATAGAGTCCAGACTTCTATCATTAACACTTTGATAGAGTCCAGACTTCTATCATTAACACTTTGATAGAGTCCAGACTCCTATTATTAACACTTCGATAGAGTCCAGACTTCTATCATTAACACTTTGATAGAGTCCTGACTTCTATTATTAACACTTCAATAGGGTCCCCTACTCCTACGTATTTTTAACACTTCTTAGGGTCCCGGACACCTAAACCATGTGCACAATTGTAATGCATCAATTAAAAGCAGCGGCAAAAAGAAAAGTCTTCAGCCTGGATCTGAAAGTAGTCAGCGTTGCAGCGGACCTGCAGGTTTCTGGGAGTTTGTTCCAGATATTTGGAGCATAATAACCGACATACACACGTTCAATCTTTTTAGTTAAATCCGTATTAGGTCAAGGGGTACAAAAAACGCTGTGATCCCACCAGGCTCTGCGTCTTCCTAGATTTGGCAAATTAGTAATAATATGTTAACTAGTGTCTGTACATATACTGTAACCTCATCTACTCCTTGCACTCTCTGGTTGGATACAAACTGCATTTTGTTGTGAGCAATGACAATAGTCAAATGTTATCTTTTAATTTTGTAATGTGTCTCCTAGCTGATCAAATCTCATGCATCTTGTCATGAACTCAGAGATTTATTTATACTTTTTGCATCACATGCATGAACCATGAACATCAGTCGAGTGTATTGCTCCTGATATTCTTTCCTTTCGTTAGTCATTTTGTCAACACTTCCTTAAATACTAGAGTGAATCCTCTCCTAAAAACCCCCACATTGAACCTTTGGCCATTAAAGCTAACAACAATACAATATATACAACTTAAAAGTAGATAAACTTAGGAGGGTTTGGCTTATTTGAAGCTAAAGTATCTACTCTTTTATCTCAAAGCGATGCTGGGATTTTGTAGTGTGTCTCCTAGCTCATTCATCCTGTCAAGAACTCAGAGTTTAATCTATACATGTTTCTCCAATAACATGCATGAACATCAGTCCATTCTAAATACAATATATAACTTAAAAGTAGATAATCTTAGGTTGGCTTATTTGAAGCTAATGTACATGCAGGTTTTTGCTGTTCTGAGTTTGTATCTTCATGGTGGATTATTTTAAGTGTCTCTGGATAAAGCCTCGTCTAAATGTAATGTTTTAAGACCACTGACCAAAGAAAGTGTTAGCAGCAGCGTCTCCGTTCTCATGTTTGGGCTGCTGCTCTCTGGCCTGCTGAGACTCCTGACAGACGTACACCGTCAGCCTGGGGCGCACCACCCTGCAGACGGAGAGGAAACAATTAATCAATCAAGGTTTATTTATTTAGCCCAATATCACAAATTACACATTAGTCTCCAGGGGCTTTACACCCTCTGTCCTTAGACCCTTGCAGGAAAAATAGCCCAAAGAAACTCCACGATTAACGGGGAGTGAATATTTTAAACCTCGAGGAGGATCCCTCTCCCAGATCTAACAGAGGTGCAAACGATGTTGTGTGTAGAGATTTTTTTTTTAAATTACAAGATAGACAATCTAAAATGTGTATATATATATATATATACACAGTGGGGCAAAAAAGTATTTTGTCAGCCACCAATTGTGCAAGTTCTCCCACTTAAAAAGATGAGAGGCCTGTAATTTTCATCCTGGTACACTTCAACTATGAGAGACAGAATGAGGGGAAAGAATCCAGGAAATCACATTGTAGGATTTTTAATGAATTAATTGGTAAATTCCTCGGTAAAATAAGTATTTGGTCACCTACAAACAAACAAGATTTCTGGCTCTCACAGACCTGTAACTTCTTCTTTAAGAGCCTCCTCTGTCCTCCACTTGTTAACTGTATTAATGGCACCTGTTTGAACTTGTTATCAGTATAAAAGACACCTGTCCACAACCTCAAACAGTCACACTCCAAACTCCACTATGGCCAAGACCAAAGAGCTGTCAAAGGACACCAGAAACAAAATTGTAGACCTGCACCAGGCTGGGAAGACTGAATCTGCAATAGGTAAGCAGCTTGGTGTGAAGAAATCCACTATGGGAGCAATTATTAGAAAATGGAAGACATACAAGACCACTGATAATCTCCCTCGATCTGGGGCTCCACGCAAGATCTCACCCCGTGGGGTCAAAATGATCACAAGAAGGGTGAGCAAAAATCCCAGAACCACACGGGGGGACCTAGTCAATGACCTGCAGAGAGCTGGGACCAAAGTAACAAAGGCTACCATCAGTAACACACTACGCCGCCAGGGACTCAAATCCTGCAGTGCCAGACGTGTCCCCCTGCTTAAGCCAGTACATGTCCAGGCCCGTCTGAAGTTTGCTAGAGAGCATTTAGATCAGGGGTGGCCAACCCGCGGCTCTCGAGCCGCATGCGGCTCTTTGCCTAGTTTCATGCGGCTCTTCAGTTCATATCGAATTTTATATGTGTGAGTTTGGGGGAGAGACACTGACTCCTGACTAGTGTTGCATGGTGTACCGATACTTGAAAGGTATACCGTGATACCCTGCCGTTAAAAACGTTACGATCCCTCCGTTTCATTAGTATCGGTACTTTAAGAATGACGGGGGAAAGTACTCCGGTGAGAAAGCGCCGTTTTAATAAGAGCCGTGTGTGTTCAGCGCTCTGCTTCCACTCCCTGCACTGCAGCCGTGCCTGCAGTCCCGCCCCTCTCAAGCACGCTCTAAGTCCCTCCCCTCTCAAGCACGCTCTAAGTCCCTCCCCTCTCTCGTGCACGCGCTAGCTGCCAGAGCATGTGAGAAAACCAGAAGCATGGCTGCAAGTGGGAGTACAACTGCCGCTGCGCCTCGGCTTGTTGACAAAAAAGACGCCAGAAGCGATGTATGTTAGCGATATCTCTGACAGTGAGGGCAAGCCTACGGACACCACGAGGCCCGTCTGTAAGAAATGTATTAATTTTATTTAATACGAATTCTTGTCATTTATTTTATTTATTGTTCTCATTGTTTAAAAGTTTGTGTTATGGTTATGGTTCTGGTGTGAAATAAAGCACAATAATTACATTTAAGACTGTTTCCCTTTTTTTAAGAAAAATAATCGGAATCGCAATTCTTGACTTGGTATCGAAACCAAAATGTTGGTATCGTGACAACACTACTCCTGACAGTTAAACCTGATATTTAGTAGGTCTGTTAAGTATTGAATGCTGATAATTCTGACGTAATTTGGCCGGTCAAAGTTGTTCGGGCTCGGATAAAATAGCTCCGTTACTTTCGTCCCGTGTTACTTTCGTCCCGGCTCTCCCTACGTGTGTATGTGTGGTGTCAGGTGTCAGTATGAGAGGATGACAGCGCGTCTAATTTTGATGTGGCCCAAGAGCCAATCACAATAATACCTGCGATGCAGTGAACCAATCACCTTTGAGGGGGGGGGAAACCTATCGTTGATTAAACACTATCCCGTGTTTCCCCTACCATTGTCTTAGAGGGGCGCTGCCCGCCAACGGAGCCCCGCGCCCCGCCAACGGAGCCCCGCGCCCCCCCCCTGGAATTCAAGGTGTTATATATATAATAAAATATATATATATATATATATATATATATATATATATATATATACCACCAAATTGCAAATAATCTATAACTACTGTCACTTTTCACATTGAACATGTGCTCTTTTATTAAATAAACTAAACGCTTTCATCTTAAGTTGTGGGTTTAGTGTTTTTGACCCTAGGAAACACTGATGCATTAATCAATAACAATAATCCACAGCTCCTCTCTCTGCTCCAGAGGATTAAAAAAATATATATCCCAATGCCACAAAAATGCATCAGTGACGTGGTTGAAATCTTGTCTCCAGAAAACAAAAAACTGAAACAAGCGGTATCAGTGACTGTGTGTTTGATGTGGCTCTTTGCAATAACATAGAAAAATGTGGCTCTTAACCTCTGACTGGTTGGCCACCCCTGATTTAGATGATCCAGAAGAGGATTGGGAGAATGTCATATGGTCAGATGAAACCAAAATAGAACTTTTTGGTAAAAACTCAACTAGACGTGTTTGGAGGAGAAAGAATGCTGAGTTGCATCCAAAGAACACCTACTGTGAAACATGGGGGTGGAAACATCATGCTTTGGGGCTGTGTTTCTGCAAAGGGACCAGGACGACTGATCCGTGTAAAGGAAAGAATGAATGGGGCCATGTATCGTGAGATTTTGAGTGACAACCTCCTTCCATCAGCAAGGGCATTGAAGATGAAACGTGGCTGGGTCTTTCAGCATGACAATGATCCCAAACACACCGCCCGGGCAACGAAGGAGTGGCTTCGTAAGAAGCATTTCAAGGTCCTGGAGTGGCCTAGCCAGTCTCCAGATCTCAACCCCATAGAAAATCTTTGGAGGGAGTTGAAAGACCGTGTTGCCCAGCAACAGCCCCAAAACATCACTGCTCTAGAGGAGATCTGCATGGAGGAATGGGCCAACATACCAGCAACAGTGTGTGAAAACCTTGTGAAGACTTACAGAAAACGTTTGTCATTGCCAACAAAGGGTATATAACAAAGTATTGAGATGAACTTTTGTTATTGACCAAATACTTATTTTCCACCATAATTTGCAAATAAATTCTTTAAAAATCAGACCATGTGATTTTCTGGATTTTTTTTTCCGGTTGGAAGTCAACAATCTTCCAGATGCCGCCCAAAAAGAAAAGTAGTAAGATGGGCGTGCGGCAGGACCACAGGCACGACTCTTGATCCAGACACAACCCGTACATATTGAAGGATATGAAGGAGACTCACCGTCCCTTCAGAGCGTTGAAGAGTCGGATCCCATCAGCCGGTCCACAGATCTGGATCACATCCTCTCTGGTCAGCTTCAGCAGGTCGGCTCCTGGTAAAGAAACAAGAGACTCCATTAGGAAAAGAAAACACTTCCTCTAAACACGATATGGAGGGAGGATAAGGGAGGCGTGTGGCGCAGTGCACTAGTGCGTTGGTGTTCAGATCAGGGGGGCACAGGTTCAAACCGGTTCAAACCCCACTGCAGTCAGCATGTCGTTGTGTCCCTGAGACAGTATTGAGTATGTAAGTCGCTTTGGATAAAAGCGTCTAACATGTAATGTAATATGGAAAGAGTGCACAAACAGCTAACATGAAAAAAAAGCTTTATTTAACGTTTAAATCCTGGGGCACAATAAAGCAGAATTCTCCCGACAAACAAGGATGTGACAAATACTAACAAAGTATTTTAATACAGAACTAATCACAAGGATAGGTCTAAACTTGGGGATGCTAAACTCAAGGGTAGCAGGTGAAGAAAACGCAGAGACAGGAAGTAAAAACAAACACAATGTAAACACTTCATAATAAACAGAAAACACTCAGATAACCACACGTGAACACAATCTTCATTCCTTATCTCCGTTTCATGGAAAACGTTTGAACCATCCCATAATACCAATCCCACCACTGTGAAGGTTGCATGTCCTCTGTGTATTTTTGCAAACTTCGGCACAGCTCATTCCCTTTAAATACTCGTAAATTGTATATTATGTATTTTTTAGAGTAATAATATTAAATGGGATTTTTATAGCGCTTTTCCTAATTTTACATAAAATCAGAACAGAAACAACACAGAACATCGAGTAGTCCTAATCCAAGTGCAGAGTAAAATGGGGAACTCCTGATGTTCCTACTTTCTGTATTATTTCTGTATACTTTTATACATTTTCTTCTTATTAAATTTGATTTGATTTAAATGTGTAAAACAATACAAACAAAATAATAATAATAATGACAAAGTTAAGCCGTGTCAAATTGATAAGCAAAAATACTACTCACTCTAAATTATATATATAAAAATGATTTCCTTAATTACATTTATGTAATCCCACCCCTTCTCCCAAAAACTAAATTATATATATATAGTTGTGTATTTTAATTTTTTACTTAAAGAACAAACAAAAACATAAAACAACAGATAAATAAACAGATAAATAAAAAAACAAATACATACATAAAAGGTAAATGGTAATCCAGAAAAGATAAAACAAACCAAATAAATAAATATAGCGTAAACACCCAGTTATGATTGAAAAGTTTCATCCTGTACAACTTGTGAAAATCGTGTCCTTATACCCTTTTTTTTTAAAAAACAGTTTTACGTCAGGACATCTTCTTGTTTAAGTTTCTGAGCAGCTAATGCACCAGGTGTGTATTTCAGAGCAGTTTTACCTGAGAAGTTGGTGAAGAGCCGACAGAAAGGAGAGAAGCGGTTTCTTAGAAGCCATTGTTGAGCGTCCTGTGGCGTTGCCGTGGGTAACAGATTCTGCGGGGGAGGAAACAACTGAGGATAAAAAGTGGAATTAAAACCTGAACAACTTCAACATTCAAGGCTTTTATTGTCATGTGCACATTAGCTACAGTGAAGAAATGGAAAAAACTGAAGTCACAGGCTCCTCCAACAGAGCAACATGAATATATATATATGAATATATATATAGGACATAAAACAGATAAAATAGTGCAAACAAGCGTGTAGAAGTCACGTGGAATTACTGGCTTAAAACATTTAAGAGAGAAGAAAATTGAGGCTACCTCGGGCCTAATTCCATACCGAACCCTACACCCTACCACTTGTCAGAGGTGGGAAGTAGTGCAGTACAAATACTTTGTTACTGTACTTAAGTACATGTTTCTGGCATCAGTACTTTACTCCACTACTTATTTTTCTGACGACTTTTTACTTTGACTTCTTACATGTTGAACACAAATACCTGTACTTTCTACTTCTTACATGTTGAACCCAAATACCTGTACTTTCTACTTCTTACATGTTGAACCCAAATACCTGTACTTTCTACTTCTTACATGTTGAACACAAACACCTGTACTTTCTACTTCTTACATGTTGAACTCAAATACCTGTACTTTCTACTTCTTACATGTTGAACTCAAATACCTGTACTTTCTACTTCTTACATGTTGAACACAAACACCTGTACTTTCTACTTCTCACATGTTGAACTCAAATACCTGTACTTTCTACTTCTTACATGTTGAACTCAAATACCTGTACTTTCTACTTCTTACATGTTGAACTCAAATACCTGTACTTTCTACTTCTCACATGTTGAACTCAAATACCTGTACTTTCTACTTCTTACATGTTGAACTCAAATACCTGTACTTTCTACTTCTTACATGTTGAACTCAAATACCTGTACTTTCTACTTCTTACATGTTGAACTCAAATACCTGTACTTTCTACTTCTTACATGTTGAACTCAAATACCTGTACTTTCTACTTCTTACATGTTGAACACAAATACCTGTACTTTCTACTTTTACATGTTGAACTCAAATACCTGTACTTTCTACTTCTTACATGTTGAACTCAAATACCTGTACTTTCTACTTCTTATATGTTGAACTCAAATACCTGTACTTTCTACTTCTTACATGTTGAACACAAATACCTGTACTTTCTACTTCTTACATGTTGAACTCAAATACCTGTACTTTCTACTTCTTACATGTTGAACACAAATACCTGTACTTTCTACTTCTTACATGTTGAACTCAAATACCTGTACTTTCTACTTCTTATATGTTGAACTCAAATACCTGTACTTTCTACTTCTTACATGTTGAACACAAATACCTGTACTTTCTACTTCTTACATGTTGAACACAAATACCTGTACTTTTCTACTTCTTACATGTTGAACACAAATACCTGTACTTTCTACTTCTTACATGTTGAACTCAAATACCTGTACTTTCTACTTCTTACATGTTGAACTCAAATACCTGTACTTTCTACTTCTTACATGTTGAACTCAATACCTGTACTTTCTACTTCTTACATGTTGAACTCAAATACCTGTACTTTCTACTTCTTACATGTTGAACACAAATACCTGTACTTTCTACTTCTTACATGTTGAACTCAAATACCTGTACTTTCTACTTCTTACATGTTGAACTCAAATACCTGTACTTTCTACTTCTTACATGTTGAACACAAATACCTGTACTTTCTACTTCTTACATGTTGAACTCAAATACCTGTACTTTCTACTTCTTACATGTTGAACTCAAATACCTGTACTTTCTACTTCTTACATGTTGAACTCAAATACCTGTACTTTCTACTTCTTACATGTTGAACTCAAATACCTGTACTTTCTACTTCCTACATGTTGAACTCAAATACCTGTACTTTCTACTTCTTACATGTTGAACACAAATACCTGTACTTTCTACTTCTTACATGTTGAACTCAAATACCTGTACTTTCTACTTCTCACATGTTGAACGCAAATACCTGTACTTTCTACTTCTCACATGTTGAACTCAAATACCTGTACTTTCTACTTCTTACATGTTGAACTCAAATACTTGTACTTTCTACTTCTCTCATTTTCCAAACAGCTGGTTCCTTTAGTCTGAATGTGTGTTTGGTGGCGTGATCATTATTATTTAGAGTCATTGCGTGCCTATTGATTTGAACACGATCCGTGTATCCATCATTTCCTGGTCTTCTCTAAAGAAGAGGGACCAATGGAAACGTTGTCATGTTGCCGTTGTTCAGCATGGAAACATTCATTAGCTAACAATGACATTATTGTTCTATTAATATAAAGGGAGGTCAGGTACTCTTTAAAACAGCTGCTAGTTATGGGTACTTTTTACTGAAGTACACTTCAAAGCCTCTTTACTTTGACTTGAGTAAAGAAGTTTAGTCAGTACTTCTACCTGAGTATTTTTAAACACGAGTATCTGTACTTCTACTTGAGTAAAGTCATCTCTGCCTCTTATGCGATTCAAACCAACAAGTGGGAACTGAGTGAGTTATTAAACCTCCATCAAAGAGTCTGCATTTGGCTTTCTATTTCCATTTACCATACATCAAATTATGTTTCACAAAATACCGTAGGCAGCCAAATGGTACGTTAGCATAGCTGTGTGTGTGTGTGTGTGTGTGTGTGTGTGTGTGTGTGTGTGTGTGTGTGTGTGTGTGTGTGTGTGTGTGTTCAAAAACCGTTTGCCTTTACCAGCGGAACCTGAATCCACAATATTATGGGCTCAGAACAGTCTCATAATACACACATGCACACAGAAGGATCCACACTTGTGTTTTTCAATGCACACACAAATGTGTTTCGTTTCATATTCATGTAAATAAAATCCAAATACAGAAAAAAGTTTTACATATGTATTTTTGATCCTCACATATTTGTTTTCCGTTTAAAACCTCTGCACCTGAAAACACAACCCGCTTTCTGTGCACACCTCGCTGTGCATTCGTGTGTGGGTTTTTGGAGACTCCCCTGACGGTCAGCCGATTCGTACTTGTAATCTTTTCTATCTATAGCCAATCAGATGTCTCCTCAATTATAAGCCAATCACGTGAGCGCGCCCCCACGAGGGTATGATTTCTTGCGTTCATGACGAAGCGCTTCACATACGCATTTTGCACTGTCCGGAGCTGACGGGTCCCTCTCAGTACATTGCCACTTTCCGAACAGGGAAACTAGCAAATACAATATTTTTAAATTATTATTATTAATAATAATAAATATATATATATAAATAAAGACATCTTGTAATTTTGTTTCACCCGCTATTGATTAATTTTGTTAATATTTGGATTTGGGCCTTTTATGACCTCAAAGTGTAAAGGATTCTTCAAAAATTGACTCGGGACAAACAAATCTTTCAAAGCAAGTTGACCTTTTTGATTTAACATCAACAAATGGTTTTATTCACCACCACCTACAGAAGGAGCTGAAACTCTCAGATCTGATCTCTATGGGGGAATTCAAGCCCATCTTAAAGGACAGGGAACACGACACCATTGGTCGATGTGATTGCTCTTATATCCCATAATCGAAGTCGTTTTAAATTGTGCCAGTTTTTAATGTTTGATAACAGTTTCTTTTATTTGCATATTGACTTGTTATCGTGCCGTTTTATTTGTGTTTTACAGCTGCATTCGTCTGCCTGGATTGTTTTGAGTTCATTTGTTGTAACTTTGTTCATGCTGCCCTCTTCTCCGTGTCTCTTCTACATCAACATGTGTCCCCTCTTCTCCGTGTCTCTTCTACATCAACATGTGTCCCCTCTTCTTCATGTCTCTTCTACATCAACATGTGTCCCCTCTTCCTCATGTCTCTTCTACATCAACATGTGTCCCCTCTTCTCCATGTCTCTTCTACATCAACATGTGTCCCCTCTTCTTCGTGTCTCTGCTACATCAACATGTGTCCCCTCTTCTTCATGTCTCTTCTACATCAACATGTGTCCCCTCTTCTTCATGTCTCTTCTACATCAACATGTGTCCCCTCTTCTTCATGTCTCTTCTACATCAACATGTGTCCCCTCTTCTTCATGTCTCTTCTACATCAACATGTGTCCCCTCTGTGGAAAGAGACTCTGAAAGTTTCAGGAACAAAGATTCTCTCTCTTTTTGTCCTGATCCATTTCTATAAAAAACTGTCGATGTTTTGTCTTGTGTAACCATTAGCCAATCAGCAACCAAGGTAACCCCCCCCCAAATGTCTCTCAGAGGGGAGTGGGGAGGGGCTCCTTATTTTCATCTAAAGTAACAGACAGAGAATCAGCACTTTGGAAACAGGGCTGAAACAGAGGGGATTAGGGGTAATTCTGCACTGATCTGTTTGGTGTTTCAGCCAATCAGAGACAGGTTCTGGATATATCTGAGACCTGTGATATATTGATGAAAAACAGTAGAATAGGGGACCTTTAATCTCAATGAGACTTTTACCTGGTTAAATAAAGGATTCATATATACCTCGAGTGTAGAGGGCGGTGCACTTACATCAGCGACCTGTACGACCGGCTCGGGCAGGTGGGTCGGGGAACCATTTCTGATATAAAGGGCAAAAAAGACCATGTTATAAACCTGGAAAATGTCAGAAAAACTGATTTAAGTTACGACAAGGAGGTATGGATGCATAGATGTATAGATGTATAGATAGATAGATAGATAGATAGATAGATAGATAGATGGATAGATGTATAGATAGATAGATGGATAGATGGATAGATGGATAGATGGATAGATGGATAGATGTATAGATAGATAGATGGATAGATGGATAGATGGATAGATGGATAGATAGGCAGATAGATAGGCAGATAGATGTATAGATATATAGATAGATGGATAGATGGATAGATGGATAGATAGATAGATAGATGGATAGATAGATATATAGATAGATGGATAGATAGATGTATAGATATATAGATGTATAGATATATAGATGGATAGATAGATATATAGATAGATGTATAGATAGATAGATGGATAGATGGATAGATGGATAGATAGGCAGATAGATAGATATATAGATAGATGGATAGATAGGCAGATAGATGGATAGATAGATGTATAGATATATAGATGTATAGATATATAGATATATAGATGGATAGATAGATATATAGATAGATGGATAGATAGATGGATAGATGGATAGATAGATATATAGATAGATGGATAGATAGATGTATAGATATATAGATGGATAGATAGATATATAGATAGATGGATAGATAGATGTATAGATATATAGATGTATAGATGGATAGATAGATGGATAGATGGATAGATAGGCAGATAGATAGATGGATAGATAGATGGATAGATGGATAGATAGGCAGATAGATGGATGGATAGATATATAGATATATAGATAGATAGATAGATAGATGTATAGATAGATAGATGGATAGATGGATAGATAGATGGATAGATAGTCGGATAGAACCATTATTATACAAACTATTCTTAACAAATAATCTGAGGGGAATTTCTTGTTTGTTTTTAACATGTGATGTGTCATTTTGTAAAGCACTTTGAGCTGCATGTCTTGTATGAAAAGTGCTAAATAAAGCTTTATTATTATTATTACTATCTTTAGAAATCTTAATCCCCCGTACCCTTCAGCGACGGGGAAGCTGTTGTGCGAGGTGTTGAATCCCGGAGACGGAGAGTTACTGACGTACGAAACCTCAGGCCAGGGGCAGCACTGCAACACAAAAACACTTCAATTATTGAATAAAAAACAACACAATTAAATCTCTGCTGACATTAATTACAAGCTTCTAATTTCCCTGACATCTCATTTCTGTTTGAGTGCGTCAAGTGAGAGGATTAAGTGTTTATTCTTTATTTTCTATGGATAAAAAGAATCATCGACGTCATGATTCTAATTTGTAAAAAAGGTCTGTATTTAGGCTCTTTTCTACAAGACGGAAAGAAAATAACTTTAAAGGGGACCTATCATGCAAAATGCACTTGTTGATGTCTTTTATACATCAACATGTGTCCCCGGTGTGTCAGGGAACTCACGCAGCGTCAGAAATAAAACCCTCTCTCTTTTCCTCCGTACCCAAATCTCTAAAAACGGGGAACAACGGAGCTGATCCAGATTTGCGTCCGATATGACGTAATATCTGAAATGTGGACCCACGGCCCTATCAGAAACGTTGCTATCAAAAACAATGCCCGACTGTTTTGGACGTAATATGGTCGGTGTTTACATTAGCATCGCTAACACTCAGAGCTAACCTGTACTGGAGAGCATGTGTGTGAAGAAGCAGGAAGTAAAAAGGAACTCACCTTGTGGTATAACCGGCAAGAGAGAAAGCCTTTGAGCTCCAAACTGTTTCAGAGAGAATCCTTGATAATCCATGATATGGCGTTTCATCACGGCAGCATTTAGTTTAGACAGTAGCTGCCGGGTCCCGCATCAGCTCAGACCCTCCCCTTTTATTTTGTATCCATTTTTTTAAAGCTTCATACCCCAAATCAGCACTTTAGAAACAGGAAGTGAAATAGAGGGATATGAGGCATGGCTAGAATGATCTGTTTGGTATTTTGAGCAAAACACTTCATAGAGATGTTTTTTATATATTTTTATATATCTGAGACCTGTGCTATTGCCTAAAAATAGCATGATAGGTGACCTTTAACATGCTTGTTTTCTGAAGAGAGTTCGGCTCGATTAGGGCTTCGATCCTCATTTAACTCTTGATCTAATAAACTAAAAATAAATGTAAAAACAACTCATCACTCGGAACAGCAGTACAAAAAAAAACGCTACAAATATGGTATTGTATATATCTTTTGGGGCATTTGGGTTTTTTATTAATTAACATGGGCCATTGTGCACATTTGTACACAAGCTACCTCTCATCCACTTCCATTACACTACTGCACATCTTATATTTTATTATTCCGAGTACTTTGCACTAGTATACTGCACATCTCTTTCGACTCCACTTCGAGCGATAGAACTATTAACGAAGCACTTATATACTAATAAAGGACTGGCTTATCTAAAGCCAGTTGAGTAGCACTTGAAATGTTTGGCTCTATGAAACCTGATGTACTTATATGATTCTGTTTTCTTCAAGGTTGTGTCTTCCTGGTCAAATGTACTTATTGTAAGTCGCTTTGGATAAAAGCGTCAGCTAAATGCAATGTAATGTAATGTAGTTTGTTGGTATATCCAGATTTCATGTAACTTAAACTTAACAGTTTCAATTGTTTTTATTTTATTCGTTGGTTGTTTTTCTAACCTTTTATCTTCTTTAACTGTTTGTTTGCACCATGTACACCAAGACAAATTCCTCATATGTGTAAACCTACTTGGCAATAAACCTGTATCTGAATCTGATGAGCATTTTTCCCACAATTGTTCGACATTACTCAGATGTAACCAAGAAAACATCGATGCTGTGTTTAATTTTGACGACTCCTCTCGATTGAACCATCTGTCCTTTGAAACTTCATCAATATTCTCACCTCTGTCAGGATAGTCGTTTCATACGATGGTTGGTATTTTTCTTTCTCCTGCGGCGCTCTCTTCTCCATCTTCTCTCGGTCCGTCTTCTGCTTCCTGTCGGCTCCTTTAGGCTGAAACAGGTGGAACAATTAGTGACAAATACTGTATTTGCTTTGCAGTTCATCCATTAATCCAATAATGTTTCGAAAAGTTAAAATAAGGAAATGGCAATAAAATACATACTTTATGTCAGATTTTACAACTGATATGTGTTAAACAAGTATTTTCTGTATTTTTTATAGTAGAAATTGCTAAATTTCAGTGAAAACCGAGACACTACAACCTCTGATTGAAGGTGAATGAAGCGTACCTGTTACAATGTCTGTATTTTAACCAAAGTAATGTTTCAGTGTTTCCCACAGATCTTAAATATACTTGTGGTGGTAGCTGATAATGCAGCGTAGTTACTGCGGAGCGCATAAAGCAGATCCTTCATCGCGGATGGCGTCGTGCTCGCGGACGGATACAAAAAAAGATTAAACCTAAATGGGTTGCGAAATATACTTTGGCGGACGTTAATATAAAGCCTATGTGTGGGGAAACCCTGCCTTCATTACATGTCCTAGTCTAGTGTTTTTCAAAGTGGGGGCCCCGACCCCCCAGGGGGCCACCAGGGGGCGCCAAGGGGGTCACGCAAAGTTTGAGGGAAAGAGGATTTTAAAGTTTTTTTAAAAAAAAATTTATTAATTTTTTTAGATGTTATTAATAACTGCATATCTATCAATCTATGTGTCCTTTGATGCCAATCTTTTAATATTTTTTGTTTTTGAATCACACGACCGCCCTTCAAGCCAATCAGAATCGAGCTGCCGCTACTGAGAGTGAAAATCTGCTCAGCTTTTGGAGCAAGTGAGAGCTAGTGAATATTTCGCTCTGCAGCTGGATGAGAGCACGGATGTAGCAAAAGTCGCAGTATTGCTTGCATACATCAGATTTATTTCAGAAGACAACTTTGTTGAGGAAATATTATTTTGCAAAGCACTGGAAGGTAGGACCACATGAAGAGACATTTTCCAAGTTTTAGATGAGTACATAATCTCAAACGGACTTGACTGGTCTCGTTGTGTGGGTGTGTGTTCAGATGGGGCAGCGGCTATGACAGGCAAAGAAAGCGGAGTGACAGCTTCGATCAGGCAGAAGGCCCCAAATGTAGTGGCAACACACTGCATGCTTCATCGCGAGGCACTTGTACAATTTTTTTTAAATTGCAACAGGGGGGTCCCCGCCAGAGGATAATGCGATACGGGGGTCCTTGGCATGGCAAAGTTTGGGAACCCCTGTCCTAGTCGACCATATTTTAGATACATTATTTAAAATAGGTGTAAAAGATATTAAGGCTTGTTGAATTAACATGAAAAAGCTCCAGGGTTGCCACGTTAGCTAGCTAGCATAAAAAATGACATGGAAACTTTTAAAACCAAGACAAAATAAATAGGACTTTCTAACTATTTCTAACTTTGTTTGGCGTTAGGGTAAAGGAACACAAATGATTAAAGAGCATATGCATGTTTTTATATTATATTATTGGATGTGCAGGGACGTGCACAGGTACGGGCTAATGTTGCCCAGGCAACAGCCCGTTTGCCATTTTTGTCTGACCTGCCCCTCTGGAGAGAGCGAGAGTTTGTTTTTGTTTTTTCTATTGTGGCCGAATCAACATGATAAGCCCACAATTAGTATTGTAGCGTCTCGCTGCGGGAAACACACCTTGCTAGCGCTGTCATCTGCCCCCAGTCACGTGACTTTGTTTACAATCTGACAGCTGGAAGCAAAGGAAAGCCCTCGGGCCTCATATGGCTATGGTGATCACACCAAAGGCCTGCCTGGCGTTAGAGTATAGGGGACAAACCAGGGGGGAAAAAAACACCTAAATATACTTATTATTGTGATTCTGTCTTTCTGTGTCTTTTACTCTGTAAACTCCCTCAACGGGGCCGCTCGCTCTCTTCTCTTGATCGCCCTCTCACATACGGGAGAACACTTCACTGTCCTGCTTCAGTGTAGGATTTCTGCCATTTCTCTACTTTAGTTTGACCATCTCTGTTACTAAGTGATGGAATACTAAATAAATAAGTAATTAGACACCTTACCGTTAATGCGTATTGAACTGGTTTAATTCATTAGTGATTTTATTTAAGGTAATTAGTTAGAAGCCCTATTTTATCAGTAGCCTATGTCTGCACAGCAGTTACAATGGTCAAACTACATTAAAACAGGATTGTCCCCATTTTTTCTTTGATAGTTACTAACATTAGATATTTTAATGAGATATGGACCCCACAACAAAAAATGTGCCTGAATAACGAATTTAGCGGTGGACATAAAAGTCAACTTAGTGCCACTTGCAATGACAGTGTTGTGTTTTTATTTTATGAACCTTTTACATTAAAAACAAGTTAGAATTTTCAAAAGGTCTTGTGTTTTTTTTCAAGGGGGGGGGGGGGGGCTTTTTCCAGTTTAGAGCAATAGCCCCTCCAAATGTCTGTGCACGTCCCTGTTGTTGAGATCTTCATATGAAGTGAATACTTAAAACGAAAGTTAATTGAGATCATGGTATGAAGTGAATACTTAAAAAACGAAAGTTAATTATAAATCATACATGATCAATCATATTCTTGTATAAACCCATAATGAGAATGCTTCTTGACGGTTTTTGAATATGTATCTATGCTTACAATTTGTTCTGTTGCTATTTTGATAACTTTGCGTTTTGAAAAGAGGGTGTTGTGAGTTTTCATAGTATGTTTAATACTTAAAAACGAAAGTTAGTTATAATCAAATATAATCAATTATATTCTTGTATAACCCACAATGAAAATGCTTCATATTTTAGGTTTTCTATAGTTACAGTATAAACAAAACAAAGTGGGTTGTTTAGGTTGAGTTTTCTTCCTCTCCTCTGGCAGCAGTCCACAGGGAGGGGCTTCACACTAAGGGGAGAAACATTAAGAGGCCAAAGAGAGTTCATGTCCTTTTTACCTCATATGAAAGGGTGTCTTATCCCATAACAGCTGTGGAACATGTTGGGACATGTTCAGCCTTGTACATTATGCGCATGCGCGGTTTTCAACTGAATTGGGTGTATAGGAGGAGTTTTGTTTTTTTGGTTTTGGATCCAGTTTTTTTAGCATAAAGAGACTGGTTTTTTGAGAGAGCGCGAGAGAGGGGGGGTGACCCCTGGTAGACTCTCTCCGGGTAGGCTGTGTGCTTCAGAGCTGGGTTAATAGCTCTCGGTAAGGTCTTTCTAGACGGGGTAAATATCTCTCGAATGTATTGGTTGTTGGCTGAGTGGAATGATTTGATGAGAGAAAGTGTGTGAACCTTTATAAATACCGCGACCTGTGGGGAAAATCTGGTCCCCCGAAATTTGCGGACAGGAATGGGTTTTTGAGTGTTAATCCGCCGTCTGTGTCGGAAAAAGTGTATGAACCTTTATAAATACCGCGACCTGTGGGGAAAATCTGGTCCCCCGAAATTTGCGGACAGGAATGGGTTTTTGAGTGTTAATCCGCCGTCTGTGTCGGAAAAAGTGTATGAAAACTGAAGTGAATAAATGGGTGAATGAAAAGTTGAATGCGCTTTTTATTGTCACCGGTCTTTTTACGAGGAAATACCTCTAAATTCTATCGGGAGAATTTTAAAATGTCACAACTGAAATGGGCAGTTGAAATTAAAACATTTTGGTAATAAATGTAAGACTGTGAATTAAAGTTTCATTTGAACATGATCACAGCACGGTTTTTTTTTGTTAGTATGATTATAATGTTGTGAGAGAGAAGGAAAAAACCCTGTATTAGTTTGGACCTATTTTTCTTCAAATAAACTGAATCCCACCTGTTGGATTGGGATCCTTTAAAAGACACCTGTGCTCTCCTCTCCTGCGTCAAAGGTAAGATTGCACCCTGCCACACACACTTAGGTAGGAGCACACTCCATTTACTGATATCAAAATCCTTCGGGATCACTTAAACAGATTTAAAAGAGAGTTGTCTGAATTGAAACAGCAGTTAATTGAACCTGGTTCTTCGGGGGGGTTAGGAAGAGGTGAGATCTTGCTGACGTTGGTGGATCTGAGCCACGCAGCAAACTTACATAGACTCAATAATCTTCAGAAAGGTCAATTAGGAGGTCAGAATAATTTACCGGAATAAATTATCAGGACCTCTCATACTCTAAACACTGTGGATGTGTATCATATTTGCGATATCAACATTTTAATTTTGTCAAAAAGACGTTACGGTCGATATTAGTAGATCCAACAGCAAAAAATAAAAGGGAAAACGTTGGCGTATTAAGGCAAGGCAAGTTTATTTATACAGCACCTTTCAACACAAGGTGCTTTACAACAATGAAAGAGAAACTACAACCTCTGACTGAAGGTGAATCAAGCGTACCTGTTTCAATGTCTGTATTTGAACCAAAGTAATGTTTGTAGACCCCTTCAACACATCTCTTAGTCTACCATATTTTAGATATATTATTTAACATAGGTGTAAAAGATATTAAGACTTGTTGATTTAGTTATAAAACAGTCAGTTAAAATCAGTTAAAAAAGCGATCACACCTGCCTCATCACGTTAGATAGGTATCGGTAAAACTATCTGTAACTATATTATTATTATATGTGTATCAATATTTCCCTTTTTTTAATAAGACGTTGCGGTCAACACCAGTAGATACATTAGCCCTTGGAGTAAAATTATAATGTGTATAAATGTAAATGTTCTGTCTTATTAGCCATGTAAATAGCTTGTTAGTAATAAGGTGTTTTTCACAACGAAGGGTAAAAACTGAATATTTTGTGCATGTTAACTTAGTCAATGGACAGTTTCATCCCACAGGCCATAAGACTGTTAAACACCTGAACTTTTGAAAGAACATCGATAACATCAAGTGTTTGCAACTTACAAATTATGTATCTAATATATCATATTACAATTACTTATATATAGACTCTCCTTGCACTATTTATATTCTATTTTATTTGTATTTACTTGTTGGAGGAGCCTGTGACCTCAGAATTTCATTGATATACACTGTAGCTACAAATGACAATAAAAGCCTTGAACCTTGAAATGTAATCTCTATAGTGGTGCAGGGATGACGTATTTACCCTGAAGGAAGCTGAAGGTTCCCTCAACAAAAATGCAACGGTATTTCTCAATAGGATTTTGGAATATTGTAAAAAATAAGGTCTGTGGAAACTAACCTGTTTGATAAATGCACGTTTTGTTCAGCCGGATAATCTCCACATGTCTACCCTACTTTTATAATGTTCAAATCATAAATCTAATCTCCAGAAGCAAAATGCTAACGTTATGCTATAAAAGAACTACAGCCGAGTCCAGCAGCACGACTTCAACGTCACGCCAACTTCAGATCCATATTCAAACACACAGATTCTAGATGGTACAAGTTGAAGCGTTTGTTTGAACAGTCTGCAGGAGGCAGGGACTTGCTTTCAAGCAGAACAGGGCAAACTAACTTAGAGGAGTGTTTACGTGTTCGGCGTAGTACGGCCTCGACAACTTCTGGAGTCCTATTCAGCCACTTGGTAACAACCATCGTTTCTCAGACACGTCAACTCTTCAGAAATCACCAGTGGGGTCACTGCTGATGGATTTAATGTCGTAGAACAAAACGTGATCCGTCTCTTCAATTTGTCTCAACCACAGAGCTTAGTTCCAGATATTTTCCTAAATCCTATGGAGAGATCCCATTTTTGACTTTTGACCTTTCCCCCTCCTCACCTTGAAGACCTTGACCTGGCAGGACGCAGAGTGCAGGTGTTCGGTGTACTCTTCGTTCTCGTTCTCCTTAAATGTGTCGATCTGGATCCGGAAAGGAACGCCTTTCTCTCCTCCGTGTTTACGCATCGTGAATTCTGTGCTTATGCAGTGTACCTAACAGAAAGAAAAGGAATATATAAGATTTAAGATCAGTACAGGAATGATGATATATTATAAACTGTCTTTTTGCCGAATACAATTTTTGAGAACACTAAATTGTGACGACAATACAGCGGCGCAGGGATGTCGTATTTCTGTGTTAGGCCCTGAATGCAGCATCTTCCTGGTTCAAATAAGCTAAAGGCGGCTAATGTTGGGCTATAAAGGAACTACAGCACGGTCACATGACTTCACGTCACCACCGCTAAGCAAAAGGAGGCTAATGTTGAGCTATAAAGGGACTACAGCACGGTCACATGACTTCACGTCACCACCGCTAAGCTAAAGGCGGCTAATGTTGAGCTATAAAGGGACTACAGCACGGTCACATGACTTCACGTCACCACCGCTAAGCTAAAGGCGGCTAATGTTGAGCTATAAAGGGACTACAGCACGGTCACATGACTTCACGTCACCACCGCTAAGCAAAAGGAGGCTAATGTTGAGCTATAAAGGGACTACAGCACGGTCACATGACTTCACGTCACCACCGCTAAGCTAAAGGCGGCTAATGTTGAGCTATAAAGGGACTACAGCACGGTCACATGACTTCACGTCACCACCGCTAAGCTAAAGGCGGCTAATGTTGAGCTATAAAGGGACTACAGCACGGTCACATGACTTCACGTCACCACCGCTAAGCTAAAGGCGGCTAATGTTGAGCTATAAAGGGACTACAGCACGGTCACATGACTTCACGTCACCACCGCTAAGCTAAAGGCGGCTAATGTTGGGCTATAAAGGAACTACAGCACGGTCACATGATTTCAAGTCACCACCGCTAAGCTAAAGGCGGCTAATGTTGGGCTATAAAAGGAACTACAGCACGGTCACATGACTTCACGTCACCACCGCTAAGCAAAAGGAGGCTAATGTTGAGCTATAAAGGGACTACAGCACGGTCACATGACTTCACGTCACCACCGCTAAGCTAAAGGCGGCTAATGTTGAGCTATAAAGGGACTACAGCACGGTCACATGACTTCACGTCACCACCGCTAAGCTAAAGGCGACTAATGTTGAGCTATAAAGGGACTACAGCACGGTCACATGACTTCACGTCACCACCGCTAAGCTAAAGGCGGCTAATGTTGAGCTATAAAGGGACTACAGCACGGTCACATGACTTCACGTCACCACCGCTAAGCTAAAGGCGGCTAATGTTGAGCTATAAATGGACTACAGCACGGTCACATGACTTCACGTCACCACCGCTAAGCTAAAGGCGGCTAATGTTGAGCTATAAAGGGACTACAGCACGGTCACATGACTTCACGTCACCACCGCTAAGCTAAAGGCGGCTAATGTTGAGCTATAAAGGGACTACAGCACGGTCACATGACTTCACGTCACCACCGCTAAGCTAAAGGCGGCTAATGTTGGGCTATAAAGGAACTACAGCACGGTCACATGATTTCAAGTCACCACCGCTAAGCTAAAGGCGGCTAATGTTGGGCTATAAAAGGAACTACAGCACGGTCACATGACTTCACGTCACCACCGCTAAGCTAAAGGCGGCTAATGTTGGGCTATAAAGGAACTACAGCACGGTCACATGACTTCACGTCACCACCGCTAAGCTAAAGGTGGCTAATGTTGGGCTATAAAGGAACTACAGCTTGGTCACATGACTTCACGTCACCACTGCTAAGCTAAAGGCGGCTAATGTCGGGCTATAAAGGAACTACAGCACGGTCACATGACTTCACGCCACCACCGCTAAGCTAAAGGTGGCTAATGTTGGGCGTGATGACATTTAGTCGTCTCATTTAGACACTTGTTAGCAACCTCCGTTTTTAAATTCATCAGTGGGGAATTTACTGATGTATTTGATGTTGTAGAATAAAACAACTTCAGCTTGAGTTAACCACAGACCTTATTTCAGGATAACAACCAAAAAACATTGAGCTCCAGGCGTAGGAACAGGAACAGATCACTGACTACTTCTGATAAATGAAATAATGAAGGAAGTGTTGTCCGTGGTGCTACCTGGATAAAAACTGAGGTTCTTTTCGACGGGTCCCAGAGGAACTCCACAGTGTTGAGCTGAGTCGGGTTTGCTCGGGGGTCGATAATGCCGACGGACATGGGGATATCTGCAAAGCAAAACAGGCTGTTATCAGAAAAGGTCACATTTGGCGTGCTCAAATCCACTGTTGTCTCCTTTGTTTCCTTGGTTGAAATTACCCTAGTTTAACTTTTGGGACGCAGCAGTGCTCATTTTTTATGTATCGTCTATCGTAAATGGTCACACAGTTTAATAATTACTGTGACACTTTGTGCTGAAGTTATTCATTCCAAAATGTTGGAAAAAGGCAATCATGGCCCTGGTTACCAAACGTCTCCTTCACTAAAAGGAGATGATGGAGTTATAACCGATCATCTGACGTATGTATAGCTCACTGTGGTTATATTGTGTCGGCCTGCTGTAGTTTTGAAGGCGGTCTAATGAACACAGTGAACGTCTGCTGGAGGGAGTTCATGAAGTGAAGGAGTTTTTCAAACTATTAGGCAACCTGTACTGTAAGAATCACACACATTATTACAGTGTGGTGACTACACTGCTTTGCCGATTCTGGCCGAGTCTTAATTGACAGTCATAGGTGCGCTCGGGTATTTATAGAACTAGCACTACTGCTTGATTATGAGCATGTTTCCTCACCCAGGTCCAGGATGCGGTCCCCGGGTCGGTTCCAGCGCCAGCCCTCCAGCTGCTGGTGCTCCGTGTACTGCAGCCGGCGGTCATGAAACACCACCCGGAGGATGCTCTGAAATACAATATAAGATAGATGTTAAAGATCTCCCATCATGATATTTTTAGACCTATATTATGGGTCTCAGATATATACAAATATATTAAAAACATGTCTATAATGTGTTTTGCTCAAAATACCAAACAGATCATGCATTTTAGAAATCCCTCATATCCCCTCTATTCTAGCCCTGTTAGAGAAACGCTGATTCTATGCTGGCCCCGCCCCCTTTTGAGCAGCAGGCACACTGTGAGATCTGTGACGAGCTGTCTGCTCTGCTCAGATACTAAGCTAAATGCTGCTGTGATTAAACGCCATCATGTTCCAAACCACATCAAGCATTCTCTCTGAAACAGTATGGAGCTCAAAGGCTTTCTCTCTCTCAGGTTTACCACAAGGTGAGTTCCTTTTTTTACTTCCTGCTTCTTCACACACATGCTCTCCAGTAGAGGTTAGCTCTGAGTGTTAGCGATGCTAATATAAACAAAGACCATATTACGTCCAAAACAGTCGGGCATTGTTTCTGATAGCAACGTTTCTGATTGGGCCGTGGGTCCACATTTCAGATATTACGTCATATCGGACGCAAATCTGGATCTGCTCCGTTGTTCCCCGTTTTTAGAGATTTGGGTACAGAGGAAAAGAGAGAGGGTTTTATTTTCTGACACTTTGTGAGTTCCCCGACACACCGGGAACACATATTGATGTATAAAAGACATCAAAAAGTGCATTTTGCATGATAGGAGACCTTTAACGTTGGGGTACAGGTTTGTATCGGCAGACCTGTGTATATATTGGAATGAGCACCCCATTGATATCTGGACATCAGGGAGTCTACTCACACTGCGTTGCCGATTGAAAACTCACCTGCATCTTTGCTAAAACACTTCTGTACGTAGCACTAACAATCTGGTTGGGCTAATAGACAGGAAATATACCTGCAAGATTTTTGCTTTTAAGGTTTGTTTCTTCATGGATGAATGCACTTATTGTAAGTCACTTTTAGGGTTGGGTATCGTTTGAAATTTATCGATTCCGGTTCTGCTTATCGATTCCCCGTTTCGATTCCAAAATTGTAAAAGAAAGAGGTCAAACGTTTAGATAACAAAAATATATTTATTCTTTTAGGCAAGGCAAGTTTATTTATATAGCACCTTTCAACACAAGGCAATTCAAAGTGCTTTACAAAAAACGAAAGACATTCAGAAAATGGCATTTAAAATCAGTCATTAAAAAGAAAAGATAATAAAATAAACATTAAAAGAAAAAATACATGGATAAAAGTTACAGTGCAGTCTAAGATGTGAATAGTTCAATTAAAAGCAGCTTTTTTAAGCTTTAACTGACATTTTTACAAATTAAAAAAATACATGCAATACAAATGTATTACACAATAGCTGTGCTTTATTTTAACTGAGCTATGCCTGTGGCAAGCTATTAACAGGCGGCATTACACTGTGCCTTGTATTTTTCTTTTTTAGTGTAGTGGAGCCTCACTTCAGAGCGTTTACCGCGATCCATCTTTGGTGTTATGAAGCGACTGAGCTCGTGAACTGTCTACGGGAGGGCGGGGGGAGCCTTGCTGCGGGGCGCCTGTCAGCGCAACTTACACGATGCCGTTTAAAAAAAGTAAGGGCGGTGCCGGCCGTCAGCGTACCGAGCCGGCCGTTCTGTGATTCTCCAGGTCCGCCCTGTATTCCACCGGGTCACCGCGGCGCAGACAGACCCGCTGGAATACAGGGTCTACTGCGTTTAGGAACCGTTAAGCAGAACCGAAATTGTGTATTTTGTATGGGTATCCGGTACCCGGCATTTTCTTATCGGTTCTCATCTGGAACCGAGTTTCGGTTCCCAACCCTAATCACTTTGGATAAAAGCGTCAGCTAAATTAAATGTAATAGTATGTGCGATTCTTACCTTAACCATTTTGTCAGTGATTTCCGGAAGTTCCCCAATTTTCCGATTGTCAAGCATTCTTATTTCATAGGACTGCCCTGCAAGCACACGTTCATACAGCGGGTTCAAAGACAATTCTGTCACACTTATAGTTCAATCTTTATATTTCCCATCTTTTCCAGTATCATAGTATCTGCTGATGTAGATTTACAGTCATAGCAGGCATGAGTTCACGGCTCGTGCTCATAACCATTTAGGATTTGGTTTCTAAATAATAGTTTTAGTATTTAGTATAGTATGTATGCAAGTGACATGCATGTGAATTATCTTTCTGTTCACACACAGAGCCCTGCAGAGTGTCGGGGGTTGGATGCTGACCTTGGTTGAGGTAGGTGAGGGTTTCATCGTGCAGTTTGACGGCGGGAGAGGTAGCTGCACACAGAACGTACTGAAAGGGGAGGATCTTGTTCTCGTTGTCCGGAGGAAGGATGGACTCTTCCTGTTTGAAGATGGGGAGGGCGAGGACATCGCTGAGGAACAGAAACACAGAAAAAATAACATCATTTCATTTACACAGAACAAATACATCATGATGGAACACTCGCACTCCTATTGGCTAGCGCTCCAACTCATTGTACGTGACAGGCTAAGAGGTGGGACATCTTGAAGCGGTTGACCAATCACAACAGAGCTGGCCAGCCAACCAATCAGAGCAGACTGGGCTGTGGTTTCAGACAGAGGGTGAAAAGAGGTGCTGCAGCACAGGCAGTATGAGAAAGATAAAGAGCTTTTTGAACATTAAAGCATGGAGACATGAAGTAGAGACACTACATACTGATATACACCTGAACATCAGCAGGAGAGGACTCTTTAAAGTAGAGACACTACATACTGATATACACCTGAACATCAGCAGGAGAGGACTCTTTAAAGTAGAGACACTACATACTGATATACACCTGAACATCAGCAGGAGAGGACTCTTTAAAGTAGAGACACTACATACTGATATACACCTGAACATCAGCAGGAGAGGACTCTTTAAAATAGAGACACTGCATACTGATATACACCTGAACATCAGCAGGAGAGGACTCTTTAAAGTAGAGACACTACATACTGATATACACCTGAACATCAGCAGGAGAGGACTCTTTAAAGTAGAGACACTACATACTGATATACACCTGAACATCAGCAGGAGAGGACTCTTTAAAGTAGAGACACTACATACTGATATACACCTGAACATCAGCAGGAGAGGACTCTTTAAAATAGAGACACTGCATACTGATATACACCTGAACATCAGCAGGAGAGGACTCTTTAAAGTAGAGACACTACATACTGATATACACCTGAATATCAGCAAGAGAGGACTCTTTAAAGCAGAGACACTACATACTGATATACACCTGAACATCAGCAGGAGAGGACTCTTTAAAGCAGAGACACTACATACTGATATACACCTGAACATCAGCAGGAGAGGACTCTTTAAAGTAGAGACACTACATACTGATATACACCTGAACATCAGCAGGAGAGGACTCTTTAAAGTAGAGACACTACATACTAATATACACCTGAACATCAGCAGGAGAGGACTCTTTAAAGTAGAGACACTACATACTGATATACACCTGAACATCAGCAGGAGAGGACTCTTTAAAGTAGAGACACTACATGCTGATATACACCTGAACATCAGCAGGAGAGGACTCTTTAAAGTAGAGACACTACATACTGATATACACCTGAACATCAGCAGGAGAGGACTCTTTAAAGTAGAGACACTACATACTGATGTACACCTGAACATCAGCAGGAGAGGACTCTTTAAAGTAGAGACACTACATACTGATATACACCTGAACATCAGCAGGAGAGGACTCTTTAAAGTAGAGACACTACATACTGATATACACCTGAACATCAGCAGGAGAGGACTCTTTAAAGTAGAGACACTAGATACTGATATACACCTGAACATCAGCAGGAGAGGACTCTTTAAAGTAGAGACACTACATACTGATATACACCTGAACATCAGCAGGAGAGGACTCTTTAAAGTAGAGACACTACATACTGATATACACCTGAACATCAGCAGGAGAGGACTCTTTAAAGTAGAGACACTACATACTGATATACACCTGAACATCAGTAGGAGAGGACTCTTTAAAGTAGAAACACTACATACTGATATACACCTGAACAACAGTAGGAGAGGACTCTTTAAAGTAGAGACACTACATACTGATATACACCTGAACAACAGTAGGAGAGGACTCTTTAAAGTAGAGACACTACATACTGATATACACCTGAACATCAGCAGCATAGGGCTCGTTTAATTTTCTAGATTCCTCTTTGATCTATAAAATATCCGTAAAATTGTCCATTTCTGAAAACAGAAAAGCAGGAAAATCTTACTATTCACAAAAAACATCACTTTTAGTTATAAATAATAATTGTATTAGCTCACAAAAACCTTGATATTTAATTCTTGTAACTGGTATTTTTCAAATAGAGAGTCTTTCACTACACTTGATACGGAAAGGCAGTTCATTATAACAGAGGAAAGGAAGGAAACTGTACTAAATACCAAGGTATCCAGACAGCGTGTCTTTGCTCCTCTCAACAGGAGAATGTCTGGAACCAAACGGCACTGTGCAGCTCCTTCAGTATCATTTAACAAAACACTTAAGCAGCCAGAAAGGGACAGAAAGAAGAGGGTCTTTTATCACGAAAACGGATTTCTGATTCCTGCAGAACCTCAAGCTGTCCTTTCCATCGAGAAAGACTGAGCAAAAGCATCATAAATATATTTTTAGACCTGTAAAGACTCCACAAAAACACATGGTTTGCAGATATATTTATGAAGCAGGGATACGCTGCAAGTCTAATGCTCTAAGCTAATTGCATTAAAGATTATTCTCCATCTGATAATCAACAAGCTGCTTCGTAATAAATAATTTACTTTGTTGCTATCACTGTGTAGGAAGTGAAGTTTGAGACTCTATGGTTCGAAACACATTAATAAAAACACATTCAATTTGAAAGAAAGTTTGATCCCAATTTTAAAGAGACACCAAATATACTATTATATAGAACAGCGGTTCCCAACCTGCAGCCACTACGCACTGCAAGTGGGTCGCCACATCATTTGCAAAACATTATGATGTGTGGAAACATTATCATTATTAAGAATTATTTATATTCCTTTCCTTTCTCCATCATCCTTAGCAACGGTCATTCCAGTCCTTGACAGCGGGCTGTTCTACTGGATTAACAACGTGTCACATGTTCTGAATCGACCAATCAGAACTTTATTTAGCCTCCGTATTGTTTATGGTTGAATGTGGGCCGCGAAACATTTGTATTCTTAAGTAGGCCCTGAGTTGAAAAAGGTTGGGAACCGCTGATATAGAATATTCAACCCCCTTCCCGTAAGTAAAGGGTTTCTGATTCAGATGTCTGTAGTACCTCATGCTGTACGCCCCCGCCCCGAGCTCCTGCCCGATGCCCGACAGACTGGCATCGAAATCCTGCACCAAACCGGACTCGATCACCTCGTCCGTGAGAGGAAGCTTCAGAGCCCACGCCATGATGACCAGATGAAAGGAGAGCACTTTGGGTTAAAACCTGCGCCAAGGTTCCCACAACCTGACAATCTGTGGAGGAGAGAGGAGAAGAAATAATAATAAAGCTTTATTTATACAGCACTTTTCATACAACACATGCAGCTCAAAGTGCTTTACAAAATGACACGTCACAAACAAACACCAAGAAATTCCCCTCGGATTATTTGTTAAGAACTTTAAAAATGTAAATGCAGCAAAATATAACATTTGATCAGATAGACACAAGGAGGTCAAATGTATGATAATAGAATAAATAATGGTTTCTCTCTGACAGATAAGACACAAGACCACTGAGTCGATGCAACAATATAAAGACCACAGGATTTATTTCTAAAATAGAGCCCCAAATGTAAGTTTAAAGACCCCATCACTCTCCTCCTCCTCTGCTGCTGAAACCCTGATTCATGCATTCATCGACTACTGCAACAGCATCCTCTACGCTCAGCATACCATCCAACCTCCTCAATAAACTCCAACATATCCAGTACTCTGCTGCCCGCCTCCTCACCCACACCCGCTCCCGAGACCACATCACTCCCGTCCTCCAGAACCTCCACTGGCTCCCCGTCCGTCAAAGAATCAACTTCAAAGTCCTCCTGATTACTCACAAAGCCCTCAACAACCAGCCCCCCCCCCCCTACCTCACAGACCTGCTGCACCACCACACCCCCCCTCCCTACCTCACAGACCTGCTGCATCACCACCCCCCCCCCCCCCCCCCCTACCTCACAGACCTGCTGCACCACCACACCCCTTCCCGCTGCCTCCGCTCATCAGAAGCCAACCTCCTATCCATCCCCACCCGCACCAAGCACCGGACCTGGGGGGACAGAGCCTTCTCCGTCGCTGCCCCCTCCCTCTGGAACCCATCAGAGAAGGCACTGACCTCACCACCTTCAAAACACTCACCTCTTCAATCTGGCTTTTAATGTGTGATTGTTTTTGTATTGCTTGATTTTAAATTTGACTTTAACTATATATATTTATTTGTTGTACTTTTCTTTTTTTCCGCTATATCTGCAAAGTGTCTTTGAGCACCTGTAAAAGCGCTAACAAAATAAATCTATTATTATTATTATTAAATAGTTTCTGTATCCTGGGGGATGCAGTCATTTGATAGGCTGTATCTTTGTGTCAAATGTGGGTCTAATAACAGTGTAACATGGGTATAATATGGGTCTAATAACAGTGTAACATGGGTATAATATGGGTCTAATAACAGTGTAACATGGGTATAATATGGGTCTAATAACAGTGTAACATGGGTATAATATGGGTCTAATAACAGTGTAACATGGGTATAATATGGGTCTAATAACAGTGTAACATGGGTATAATATAGGTCTAATAACAGTGTAACATGGGTATAATATGGGTCTAATACAGTGTAACATGGGTATAATATGGGTCTAATAACAGTGTAACATGGGTATAATATGGGTCTAATAACAGTGTAACATGGGTATAATATGGGTCTAATAACAGTGTAACATGGGTATAATATGGGTCTAATAACAGTGTAACATGGGTATAATATGGGTCTAATAACAGTGTAACATGGGTATAATATGGGTCTAATAACAGTGTAACATGGGTATAATATGGGTCTAATAACAGTGTAACATGGGTATAATATGGGTCTAATAACAGTGTAACTTGGGTATAATATGGGTCTAATAACAGAGTAACATGGGTATAATATGGGTCTAATAACAGTGTAACATGGGTATAATATGGGTCTAATAACAGTGTAACATGGGTATAATATGGGTCTAATAACAGAGTAACATGGGTATAATGTGGGTCTAATAACAGTGTAACATGGGTATAATGTGGGTCTAATAACAGTGTAACTTGGGTATAATATGGGTCTAATAACAGAGTAACATGGGTATAATGTGGGTCTAATAACAGTGTAACATGGGTATAATGTGGGTCTAATAACAGTGTAACATGGGTATAATATGGGTCTAATAACAGTGTAACATGGGTATAATGTGGGTCTAATAACAGTGTAACATGGGTATAATGTGGGTCTAATAACAGTGTAACATGGGTATAATGTGGGTCTAATAACAGTGTAACATGGGTATAATGTGGGTCTAATAACAGTGTAACATGGGTATAATGTGGGTCTAATAACAGTGTAACATGGGTATAATGTGGGTCTAATAACAGTGTAACATGGGTATAATGTGGGTCTAATAACAGTGTAACTTGGGTATAATATGGGTCTAATAACAGTGTAACATGGGTATAATATGGGTCTAATAACAGTGTAACATGGGTATAATATGGGTCTAATAACAGTGTAACATGGGTATAATATGGGTCTAATAACAGTGTAACATGGGTATAATATGGGTCTAATAACAGAGTAACATGGGTATAATATGGGTCTAATAACAGAGTAACATGGGTATAATATGGGTCTAATAACAGAGTAACATGGGTATAATATGGGTCTAATAACAGTGTAACATGGGTATAATATGGGTCTAATAACAGTGTAACATGGGTATAATATGGGTCTAATAACAGTGTAACATGGGTATAATATGGGTCTAATAACAGTGTAACATGGGTATAATATGGGTCTAATAACAGTGTAACATGGGTATAATATGGGTCTAATAACAGTGTAACTTGGGTATAATATGGGTCTAATAACAGAGTAACATGGGTATAATATGGGTCTAATAACAGTGTAACATGGGTATAATGTGGGTCTAATAACAGTGTAACATGGGTATAATATGGGTGTAATAACAGTGTAACATGGGTATAATATGGGTCTAATAACAGTGTAACATGGGTATAATGTGGGTCTAATAACAGTGTAACATGGGTATAATGTGGGTCTAATAACAGTGTAACATGGGTATAATATGGGTCTAATAACAGTGTAACATGGGTATAATATGGGTCTAATAACAGTGTAACTTGGGTATAATATAGGTGTTATAATGGTGTAACATTGGTGTATTCATGTATAATATGGGTTTAATAACAGTGTGATATAGGTGTCATGTAGATAATAGCAATCAACGAATTATCCAAAATATGTGATTGCCTTAAAGAACATCTGAATTAAATATTCTCTATGTTGGTAATTGTTAAGTCAGTGTTATCTTAACGTTGTGTTTTACATATGTTATTTTAAATGTTGCTGTTAAGAATTTAAACATGTCACGTGTCTTTGAGTACCATAAAAAAGCGCCTTATAAATAAAATGTATATATATGCTTTTCATGTATTTAAATGAGTTAGAAATGATATGAAATAGACATATCTTACCTTCAGTTGTGCAGCAGATGCTAACACTGCTTCTTCATCTTCTTCATGTCGCTTCTTCCCAGACGTAAAACAAACATCACGAGCTAACGAAGCTAACTACTGACAGACAGCTAAAACCAATGCTAACCTGTATTAGCCTTAAATTGTAGAGGTTTCACGAAAACATAGAGTTCCTGGTAGACATATCTTTATATAGGAGGAATTTAAAATGACCTCAGACTCGTTAATATATTAAATGTAATGTCTTGCTTTTGTTTGTTTATCGAGCTTCGTAGCAGGAAAAAGGAGATGACGTCACTTCTGGTTCACGCTGCTTCTTCTTCTTCTTCGTGGTGTTATTTTACAGTCGGGGGTCACTACCGCCACTCTGCGGTTATGGTGGGTACAACACAAAGCTGAGTATTCATTAATTGTCTAATATCAGATGTGGAAGAAGCAGTGGCGGTTCTAAAACAATTTGACTGGGGGGGCCAGTTATTTTCTGAGGGGGGCACAATAAATGCAGGACGAAAAAGACAAAGACAGTATGAAGTAATTGTGCATAAGAAAACAATGCAATACAGTTATTGGTATTTGTTTCATTGCACATTATTACATGCTTACCTTTAACCTTTGTGTGCTTTGTGTCTGTGGGACCCGTTTACTAAAAGAACATTTATTCAATTTAATTATTTTAACCTGCTTTATTTGGGGGTGGACCTCACATACTCTCGGGGGGTCCCCAGGAAGATTTATTTTTTAAATGTTGAAGTTAAATGCATCAATCTGGTGCACTTTGAGCACAAAATGAATTTATGGATACAGCTCTCAACACTCATATGAAAGGGAGCTGTATAGTTTTCAATAATCCAAACATCTTTAGAATATGATCACAACCAATAACAAATCATTTAAACTTGTTTATTCTTATCTTATGTTACCTAGTTAGCATGCTTTCTTTCTATTTATGCATATTTTACTAATCACTCCCCTTTTAAACTGTTTGTTTTACTGTCCACATTGGAATGATTTCTTACTTTATTTTTTACAACTATATTAAATAGATAAAGGTGTGCTCTCTCCAGCTCTCTCTCTGTCTCGCTCGCTCACAGAGGCTGTGTACTCCTCCGTGGTGATGACGGCTTGCGTTAAAAAAATTAAATAAACATATTTGTAAAGCTATTGAGGGCTTGCGAGATACCGGTAGCTCGCGATCGACGTGTTGGAGACCCCTGCTCTAATGGGTCCGACTAGAATGACAAATATCGTTAGTTCCGCCTATTCCGTCAGACAAGAAATCGTTTAATCATAAACTTTTTATTTTTTTCATTTTCAGGGGGGCCACAGGGTCGGCACTGCCCCCCCCCCCCTAGAACCGCTCCTGGGAAGAAGTACTCAGATCTTGTAGTAAAAGTACTCAGAAATGTGTACTTGAGTAAAAGTAGAAGTACTCGGATCTTGTACTTGAGTAAAAGTAAAAATACTCAGATCTTGTACTTGATTAAAAGTACAAGTACACAGATCTCTTACTTGAGTAAAAGTAGAAGTACACAGATATTGTACTTGAGTAAAAGTATAAGTACTCAGATCTTGTACTTGAGTAAAAGTAGAAGTACCAGAGTGTAGGAATACTCGGTTACAAGTCAAAGTATTAGCATCAAAATATAGTTAAAGTACCACAAGTAAAAGTATTCATTGTGCAGATTGGTCCATTTCAGAATAATATATTTTATATGTTTTATAATGATTGATCATTAAAGTGTTTTCAAAGCTGGTAAAGGTGCAGCTAGTTTTAATGACTTTGAATACTGCATATACTATGTTTAAAATATGTTTAAAAGATCGGAGAGCCAGCCAACTCGTCCAACATCAGTGTCTGACCTCACTAATGCTCTTCTGGATGAAAGGGCTTCCCACAGACACACTCCAAGATCTGTAGAAAGCCTTCCCAGAAGAGTGGAAGCTGTTATAGCTGCAAAGGGGGACCAAGTTCAAATTAATGCCTAAGAGTTTGGAATGGGATGTCCTGAAAGCTCCTGCAGATGTAATCAGAATCAGAATACCTTTATTAGTCCCACAGAGGATACATGTACATTGTTACAGAACAAAATAGCTAAAGACAGCTTAATGTTACCTAAAGCATGCATGCCAAAAAGTATTAAAGATAAAAAAAGAAATTATAATTTTTAAAAAGTTACACGTTTTACAAAATAGACAGTTTTTAACGGTATATATATATATAGCACATAGTTGGTATTTAACAGAAAGCGGTGTTATAGTCTGTGTTGTTGTGTGGGGGGTCTACTAGGGGTCGTGGTGGTTATATAGTCTGACCGCTGCAGGAAGGAAGGACCTGCGGTATCTCTCTAATGTGCAGGTGGTCCAATACTTTTGTCTATATTGTGTATAATTGAGTATCATCCGCATAACAATGAAAATGTACCGAGTGATTCCTTATCGCCTAAAGGAAGCGTATATAATGTGAACAGAATAGGTCCGAGCACTGAGCCCTTATGCTTTGCTGCGGCAACACTGGCTGGATTAAATCAAACAAAACTCTAAACACATTTTCAGCACAGCACACAATCTGCAATTCAACTCTGCACTTTCTAAAACCCTGCACACGGCTCTCTGAGTAACACACAGAGATCTGACATATTCACCTGTCAGCCATTTTCAAAACACTGCCATTAAACATGCTACACATATGAGCCAATGAACAAATACACATGCCAGCTGACCGTTACCGCCTGGCTGCTTTACTGCTGACTCATCAAGCAGGATATAAGTACAACAAATGGGATATTTATTTTTTAAATGTGTTTTTTTATTACAGAGCTGAGAAAATAATATATAGTCTTAAAGTTACATGAAAAAAAAATCTGATATCCTGTAGGATTATGAAATACACAAGAAAAGAAAGAAGATTTAAGTCGTTAATTCATGAGAAAAGCACTCGGATAGAAAGTCAGAAACATTTAAAATATTTGTTTCAAAAAAATGTCCAAAGAAAGTATTCAGATTAATTCTTATTATAGTTTTGTTTTTTTGTAAGCTTTGACTGTATTTTGAGAAACTTCTGGATACAATCTGAAAGCATCCTTTTTTAACTTTAAACATGATCTTTAATAATGTTGTAGTTTAGTTGAACTCTGAGAGGTCGACTGGCTGGACTCCTCACTGGGACTCTGGTTCTGGACCAGCTTGCAGGGTCCAGGAGTTCTTGGAGAGAAGGAGCGCTTCCTGCCACAGGACTCGGGGGATGGGAGTTCCTGAACATGGAGAAACAGCTTCAGTTATTATGCTCCAAATATCTGGAACAAAGTCACAGAAAGAATGTGTCGGCAGCTCAGAGAGTCCTGCTGGGAACCCACACATGTTGAGGAGCCCAAAGTGTGATGATAGACATGTACAGTACGGGTCCCCAGCACATAGAAGCTGCCGGATGCTAACCTGCATATGTTGGGAGAGCTTTACAGATCAGGAGAGGAACTAAGTACATTTACTCAAGTACTGAACTTAAGTACAATGTTGAGGTACTTGTACCTTTCCTGAGTATTTCCATTTGATGCTACTGTGTATTTCTAATCCACCACAATTCAGAAGTACATGGTGTACTTTTACTCCACTACATGTATTTAATACCTTTAGTTACTTCACAGATGTGGATTAATGATGTGAAATATAATCAAGTGTTGAAATCAGACTTTAGTTCCACCTGGAGTAAATCCACAAGCTACCCTGCAGTATACAAAGTCATTCAAACTAGCTGCTCCTTTACCAGCTTTGAGAACACTTTCATGATCAATCATTATAAAACATCATATATATTATTCTGAAATGGACCAATCTGCACGACGACTACTTTTACTGTCGCTACTCTAACTATATTTCGATTATAATACTTTTCTACTTTTACTTGAGGAACATTTTGAATGCAGGACTTTTACTGTAACAGATTATTCCTACACTCTGGTACTTCTGCTTTTACTCAAGTACAAGATCTGAGTACTTCTACTTTTACTAAGTACAAGATCTGAGTACTTCTACTTTTACCAAGTACAAGATCTGAGTACTTCTACTTTCACTCAAGTACAAGATCTGAGTACTTTTACTCAAGTACAAGATCTGAGTACTTCTACTTTCACTCAAGTACAAGATCTGAGTACTTTTACTCAAGTACAAGATCTGAGTACTTCTACTTTTACTCAAGTACAAGATCTGAGTACTTCTACTTCTACTCAAGTACAAGATCTGAGTACTTCTACCTCTACTCAAGTACAATATCTGAGTACTTCTACTTTTACTCAAGTACAAGATCTGAGTACTTCTACTTTTACTCAAGTACAAGATCTGAGTACTTCTACTTTTACTCAAGTACAGGATCTGAGTACTTCTACTCAAGTACAATATCTGAGTACTTCTACTTTTACTCAAGTACAGGATCTGAGTACTTCTACTTTTACTCAAGTATATTGAGAAAGAGTCTCATATCTGGATGAATGGAGGATATTCAGTACTCACAGGTCTTCTGGATCTTGGCTCTGATCGTCTCATCATTGATCCTGTAGGGATGAACACAATCCAACAGTTATGGATCCAGTTTAAAATAAGTGTTTGTTCTTTGAGTCAGCTTCAGAGTCCTGATCTCATGCTTTACATCCCATCATATCTTCTCTGCAAACACTACGACTGACTGCCACAGCTCTCAGCTGCATGACAGGAAGTAACAGCCATTAGTCAAGGAGCTAAAAACATCCCATCAAACACAGACTACCTTTTCCACTCTTCTGTCAAACCCCATATGTCTGGTGGAAAGTTGATGACTGACTAAACGTGGCTTTGCATTTTCAGCTGGCCTTCTCTAGTTGATGGAAGAATGAGAGAGCCTGCAGTCAGTGGGTAACATCACTGATCTGATTCCCCAGTGAGAGAAACACCTCCCTGTGTTTCATACAATACTGCTGAACCAGCAGAGACCCCGTACTGACCTGAGGGTCTCCAGTCTGCAGTCTGGACTCTCCAGAAGATCTCTCAGCAGCTCCACTCCTGAATCCTGCAGATCGTTATCTCTCAGGTCCAGCTCTCTCAGATGGAGGTTGGACTTCAGAGCTGAGATCAGAGCAGAACAGCTGATCTCTGACAAACTGCAGCCCCTCAGTCTGAAGAAAGAAAACATGATGTCACTTTAGAAAACAAAGTTCCTGTTTGAAATAACTCCAGGTTTAATAATCTGTTCAGAGTCAAACAGGGTTTTAATGTCAGAGATGATGCAGAAACAATCCACTGATAATCTGGAACTCTAACTTTGATCAGATGTTGAACAACTCCTTCCTCTCCCTCACAGCTCCTCAGTACTGACAGCATCTCCACTGACTCCTGGAGCACAGGGTGAGTCTGTGGAAGCTCAAACTCTCTCCCTCACACATTCACCTTCTCTCTGTTACTCTGATCAATATTCAGTCATTAGCAGAAACGGAACAAATAACAATAACATTGTATTTGTTCAAATTCAGAAAATCATAAACACAAACAGATCAATATGAACTGCAGTCAGTGAACTGACCTGAGAGCCTCCAGTCTGCAGTTTGGACTCTTCAGTCCAGAAATCAGCAGCTCCACTGCTGAATCCATCCAGAGCGTTGAGAGTCAGGTCCAGATCTCTCAGATGGGAGGGGTCAGACTTCAGAGCTGAGGCCACGACTTCACAGATACTCTCTGAGAGTCCATAGTAAGTAGTAAGTCTATAATAAAACATATATTACAACATGTGTTAAAAAAAAGAGGAAACATTATATTAACCTCAAGCATTCGATGAAAAAAGATTTGACATGTTCTGATAGACCTTTGCTGTTAGTCCATTTAATATAATATATAATAATATATTATAATAGAGTGTAATGAGTTGTCAGTGTGATCTGATCACATGTCTGTGCTCCTGCTGTCACTGACTGTTACCTAAAGAAACAGAGATTAAATGAATCACTTGACGATATTAGAGATGAACATATTTAAATGTTAGTTAATATTTGGATGTGAATGATGGATGAAGGATGTTTTGGCTTCTCTGAGCATCTGGACATTTACTGCGCACACAAACACAATTAACAAACCAATAAAGATTCAATGTGTTCAACTTGATACCATCAGATGTTCCCAGTATATCAGCATTAAGACATAACTCTGTTGTTGGTGGAAATGATATAGATCTGATTTTAAACTCTAACATATTGTGATAAAAACGTGTGTCTGTTTAATGATAAAGAAACTACTAGAAAGTAATAATATGTTTCTGTGATAACTGTAAGTCCTGCTGTGTGGTGTGATCACATGCTGAGAAACCTCTCAAGTCCTTCATGTGTTCGACATGTCGCCTCCTTCACTCAATATGAAGAGAGGAACGCTTCAGTTTAACTATCATTATAAATAAATAGAAGAACAGTGTTGGTTTTATTTTGCCCTCAGTATTTAAACAGCAGAAATTTTATAGTGTTTATTTGAATAATTAAACTCCTGATCCACATTAGTTTATAAAGTTAATCACATCTGGACTTACTTGAACTTCCTGCAGTTCCTCACAGCTGGAATCAGTCTCCATCGTCCCTCCCATGATGTGTTGTACTTCATCAGGTCCAACTCATCCAGAACCTCCTCTGACATCTGCAGCATGTAGGCCAGAGCAGAGCAGTGGATCACAGAGAGTTCCTTCTTTGATCTGTTCTCTGACTTCAGGAACTCTGTGATCTCCTGATGTACTGAGAGGTCCTTCATCTCTGTCAGACAGTGGAAGATGTTGATCTTCCTGTCAGGAGAGGAATCATAACTTCTCATCTCCTTCAGGTTGCTGATGGCTCTCTGGATGGTTTCTGGTCTGTTGTCTGTGCGACCCAGCAGGCCTCCTAACAGTCTCTGGTTGGACTCCAGAGAGAGGCCGTGGAGAAAGCGGACAAACAGGTCCAGGTGGCCATTTTCACTTTGGAGGGATATCTCCACGGCTCCCTCCAGGAAGACATCCAGGGATGGGTAATCCTGATCACTGATGTTATAGTCTCTCCTCAGGAAGTCCTTCAGTACCGCTGTGTCTCTGTTGGTGTAACAGTGCAACATGTAGACTGCAGCCAGAAACTCCTGAACGCTCAGATGAACAAAGCAGTAGACTGTTTTCTGGAAGATCACACTCTCTCTTTTGAAGATCTGTGTACAAACTCCTGAGTGCACCAAGGCCTCGTTGACATCAAGGCCACAGCGCTGCAGGTCTTCTTGGTAGAACATGATGTCTCCTTTCTCCAGATGTTCAAACGCCAGCCTCCCCAGCTTCAGAAGAAGCTCCCTGTCAGCCTCCGTCAGCTGCTGTGGACTCGTCTCATGTCCCTCTTCGTACTTCTGCTTCTTCCTCTTGGTCTGGACCAGCAGGAAGTGTGAGTACATGTCAGTGAGGGTCTGGGGCAGCTCTCCTCTCTGGTCTGTAGTCAACATGTGGTCCAGAACTGCAGCAGTGATCCAGCAGAAGACTGGGATCAGACACATGATGTGGAGGCTCCTGGAGCTCTTGATGTGAGAGATGATTCTGCTGGACAGGTCTTCATCACTCGATCTCCTCCTGAAGTACTCCTCCTTCTGGGCGTCAGTGAAGCCTCGTACTTCTGTCACCCTGTCCACACACTCAGGAGGGATCTGATTGGCCGCTGCAGGTCTGGAAGTTATCCAGACGAGAGCCGAGGGAAGCAGCTTCCCCCTGATGAGGTTTGTCAGCAGCACGTTGACTGAGGACTGCTGAGAGACATCAGACACAACCTCATTGTTTCTGAAGTCCAGAGAAAGTCTGCTTTCATCCAGGCCGTCAAAGATGAGCAGCACTTTGCAGACAGCCAGCTGCTCTGCTGTGACCTTCTGTAAGGTTGGATGGAAAACATGAAGCAGCCTGAGAAGACTGTACTGCTCACCTTTGATCAGGTTCAGCTCCCTGAAGGAGAGCGGGATCACCAGACTGACATCTTGGTTTCCCAAACCCTCGGCCCAGTCCAGAGTGAACTTCTGCACTGAGAAGGTTTTTCCAACTCCAGCGACTCCGTTGGTCAGGACCGCTCTGATGAGAGTCTGTTGGTCAGGTAAGGCTTTGAAGATGTCCTGGCACTTGATTGGAGTGTCATGGAGGGGCTTCTTCTTGGAAGCTGTCTCCAGCTGCCTCACCTCATGTTGGGTATTAACCTCTTCACTCTGGCCTTGTGTGATGTAGAGCTCAGTGAAGATGCTGTTGAGGAGGGTTTCACTTTGATCAGTTCCTTCAGTCACACGTTCACATCTCCTCCTCAGACTGAGCCTATGTTCATCTAGAACCTCCTGCAGACCACGTTCTGCTGGAAGAGAAGGAAACGTGAGAGAATGAGGAAAATGCTCTGAGAATCTAATTATAACAATAAAATAACAAACAGACTGAGTTTAAATGTTGTATAAACAGCTTACTGTCTCTGCTCTACAACAGTATACCTATTCAGAAACAAAGGAACCAGGAAGAGGAATAAAACGCTGCGTGAGTTCGGCCTCTTACCTCGTACAGTTCTGGTCTGACTGGCTGTCTGCAGTCCAGCTCTGGTTCTGGGTCTTTCTCCACACTGGGGACAGAAGGGGTCTCCTGATGGAGGTCTCTGCTCCCAGTATGAGGTGATGCACTGTCTGCAGAACCAGTGTCCACAGCTGGTAGAGACTGGATCCTTCAGGACGTCCTGACACAGAGCACAGCTGGACAGCTGCTCCTCCACAGGAACACCACTCTGCCTCTTCCCTCTGTGGAGATGAACACATCCTTTACAGCACTTTACATTAGTGGAGCTGATTCTCACCAAAGGGCAGAGCGTCACAAACGTCTCTCTCAAGATGAAATGTGTCACGCTGCACGAATACGCACTTGGCTAACACTTTAGCACGGAGCACGAGTCAGTTCATTAATAGGCTAACAAACAAAACACAGCTGACATGAATTTCACCTCTTCACTTTCTTGGTGTTTCCAGGCACGGATCTGGGTCTTTGCATTGACTCTACATGTAATCACACAAAGATCTGTTATATCTGCTAATGCTAAACACAACCAGCTCACCAGGTCATCACTATTATTAATAAACATCTTTAAAATACATATCACAAACAAGCCCAAGTAGTAAATAATGTTTTGGACGATATATTTAGTTTCTAGTGAGTATTTATCAATATCTTTGCCATTTAAAACCGTTTTATGCCACTGATACAATGATACTATAAATGCATATTGAAATATCCTCAAATAATGTTAGCTTGTTGAACTCTGCTGCCTTTGTTCTGTACTATACTGCACACATGATATTATTAAAGAACAGTTTAATATATTAGATTATATAAGAGCTGAATCCTCTTCAGGTCAGGTTACAGCAGAAACTCTTACTTTGTGTCTGAGGGTCCAGGTTCATTACTGAAGTATGGATTTTCCTCTTTAGACCAGTCACTCTTCAGAGACAGACAGCTGGGGACTGGAGACTCTGCTCTCTGTCTGTGGAAACAACACATGTTTTAAACATCATTAGTTCATTCAGAGAGCACATTTTGACTTCTGTCTGTCTGTAAGGCAAGGCAAGGCAAGGCAAGGCAAGGCAAGGCAAGGCAAGGCAAGGCAAGGCAAGGCAAGGCAAGGCAAGGCAAGGCAAGGCAAGGCAAGGCAAGGCAAGGCAAGGCAAGGCAAGGCAAGGCAAGGCAAGGCAAGGCAAGGCAAGGCAAGGCAAGGCAAGGCAAGGCAAGGCAAGGCAAGGCAAGGCAAGGCAAGGCAAGGCAAGGCAAGGCAAGGCAAGGCAAGGCAAGGCAAGGCAAGGCAAGGCAAGGCAAGGCAAGGCAAGGCAAGGCAAGGCAAGGCAAGGCAAGGCAAGGCAAGGCAAGGCAAGGCAAGGCAAGGCAAGGCAAGGCAAGGCAAGGCAAGGCAAGGCAAGGCAAGGCAAGGCAAGTTTATTTATATAGCACTTTTCAACACAAGGCAATTCAAAGTGCTTTACAAAAAATGAAAGAGATTAAGAAAATGGCATTTAAAATCAGTCATTAAAAAGAAAAGCTAATAAAATAAACATTAAAAGAAAAAATACATGGATAAAAGTTACAGTGCTGTCAATTAAACATTAAAAGAAAAAAGTACATGTACAAAAAGTACTAAGATATGAATAGTTCAATTAAAAGCAGCGACAAAAAGAAAAGTCTTCAGCCTGGATTTAAAAGTAGTCAGAGTTGTAGCGGACCTGCAGGTTTCTGGGAGTTTGTTCCAGATATTTGGAGCATAATAACTGAACGCTGCTTTACCATGTTTAGTTCTGACTCTGGGGACAGAAAGCTGACCAGTCCCTGAAGACCTGAGAGATCTGGATGGTTCATAATTTAGCAGGAGGTCAGAAATGTATTTTGGGCCTAAACCATTCAGTGCTTTATAAACCAGCAGCAGTATTTTGAAATCTATTCTTTGACACACAGGAAGCCAGTGTAAAGACTTCAGAACTGGAGTGATGTGATCCACTTTCTTAGTGTTAGTGAGGACTCGAGCAGCAGCGTTCTGAATTCAGCTGCAGCTTCCTAATAGATTTTTTAGTGAGACCTGTGAAGACACCATTGCAGTAGTCGAGTCTACTGAAGATAAAAGCATGGACAAGTTTTTCCAAATCCTGCTGTGACATTAGTCTTTTAATCCTAGATATATTCTTTAGGTGATAGTAGGCTGATTTAGTAACAGTTTTAATGTGACTGTTGAAACTCAGGTCAGAGTCCATGACTACACCTAGATTTCTGGCTTTATCTGTTGTTTTGAACATTGCATCACTGAAGCTCAGCGCTAACTTTTATACGTTCTGCCTTGGCTCCAAAAACCATTACCTCAGTTTTATCTTTGTTTAATTGGAGAAAGTTCTGACACATCCAGTCATTGATTTGTTCAATGCACTTACTCAGTGTTTGAATTGGAGCATAGTCTCCTGGTGAAATTGTTACGTAAATTTGTGTGTCATCTGCATAGCTATGGTAACTTATTTTGTTGTTCTTCATTATCTGAGCCAGTGGTAGCATGTAGATGTTAAAGAGAAGAGGCCCCAGGATGGAGCCTTGAGGAACCCCACATGTCATATTTGTCAACTCAGATGTGTATTTACCTATAGAAACAAAGTTGTTTCTGTCCTTTAAGTAGGATTCAAACCAATTCAGAACTGTTTCCGAAAGTCCCACCCAGTTCTCCAGTCGGTCTAGTAATATGTAGATTATTTACTATCGCTGATGACGCCAGGGATCAAGAGTTTAAACGTTGTTACTGGACTGTTACTACGTTTCTTTACTGCGATCATTAAATAACAGGTTAGACTAGAAAAGGCATTTCCTGCTGAAAATGCAGAGAAAGCTGAATATTTGAATAGCTGAATGGTGACTGTAGCTGTGTAGTGATCAGTGAAAGGAGAGGGTTTCATGTGAAACGGTTTTGTCACATCCTCGCCCTCAACAGACATTTTTTCAAATTCTATACTGAAATGTTTTTATTTTTCAACCTAAGAGATGTTTTCCTACATTTTCATCAACACATTATGTCACAGCAGGAGTGTAGGGCTTGGGACTTCCCAGCTAGCGGGGAACGTTCTCACAACTTTGGCTAACGTTACCTACAGGTTCTAATAAGGTTTTAAAGAAACGTTTTAATCTGATGTTCAAAGAACCTTTTTAGGATGTTTATTTTTCCTATAAGGTTTAAGGTTTAAAGACATAACGTTTTAACTGCAACATTCAGAGGATGTTCTGAGGATTTTATTAAGGCCTGAGATGACAGAAAGTGTTTGTATAAAACGTTCCTTTAATGTGATATGTTAACAAAGGTGGAACGTTTTGCCTGCAACATTCTAGGGATGTGTTTTGGACGTTGTTGGGTAACTAATCAAAGATGTTCTTTATAAAACATTCCCTCAATGTTACATGATAACAAATGAAGAACATTTTGAAAGCAACATTTGGATAATGTTTTCAGGAGGTTATTCTTTTTTTATAAATGATTCCTGTGATGCGAAATATTAACAGAGTCATGGTCAACGTCAGATTTATTTGTAGTGCGCTTTAAAAAACAAAGTTGTTGCATTCGTTTGAAAAGGATGCTTAAAACAAATCTGATGTCACCACATTTTCCTTTTGAAAAAAAAAACAAGCACGTAATTCATGATAGTGCACGTTTGCGTAGGCATGTCTGAGTTCCCAGCTAGACATTGTTGGTTCTAAAAACATTCTGAGAATGTTACCATTCATTGTTCAAGGAATGGTTTCATCGAGAAGTTTTATTTTGGTTCCTAGAACGTACTTCTGAAAGGTAGGATAACGTTCTCTAAAAACATTCTTAAAATGTTTGGTGTTAACATTGTTCCAACATTATACCCCAAGTATTTTTGTTGTTTATGCACACATCTCCATGGTAATATGGATCGAATAACACTTAGAAAACCAAAGACAGACATATGGAAGGACGGATCACGGATCGACTATCACCGCCCGTCCCTGAAACCCCTGTTAGTGTTTGTATGTGTTTGTTTCTATTGTGTGTCTCTCTCTCCCCCCCACCTGCCTGCTGGTCTGCTCTACACGGCTGGGAGCAATCTCCAATCAACCACACCTGCAACCTGCTCATCAGCCACACGATGAAAGCCTGCAGCCTGCACTCATTCACTGCCGGATTGTTGCCGTGAAAGGTTTGTTGCGTGCTGCTCTAGCTTTTTGCCAGCAGATCTATTGACTAGTGATGGCGAGATGAAGCCTTATGAAGCTTTGAAGCTTTCCAGCCAATTGGTTCGCAAAAGGGTTCATCTCATGAGGCTTCATCATGGGCTTCATTTGAACACCAACCCCCCTGTTGGTCAAAGTGTGTAAAACAGGCAGATTGGACATCTCAACAGTGTGCTCCATCATCTCATACCGAGTTCCCATTGAGTAAACCCTTAGAATAACTCTAAACAACGAACATTAAATCATATCTTCATGTCAACAATATTGTATTTATTCCAGTTGAATGATTGTGATTGAAAAGCATAAGGAGGCTGGTAAACATTGCAAAGAGGAATTTGTATTCCTTCGTAAACTTAACCATGTTGTAGCCTGAGAAAGGCTAAACCATATCAAAGAATACATTTATTAACTACATTATCTCATTTAGCTGTAGCTTTTATAAACAACAAAAAATACATATTGTTCAGTCGTTGAACCAGGGACCCTGCGGTCATGAGTCAACTGCTTTCCAGCTGAGCCACAGCACACACATTACAGCTCCCTGAAAACACTCCACAATATTTATTCACTAGCAGGAACCACGCCACAACAGTGTGATGTTTGTAAGTTTATTGAAGTAACACGTGAATGATATGAGGGGGGTGAAGAGATGATCTGGGAGGATGAGCAGTGGGAGACTCAGAGTGGGGGTTCCGTCTCCGGCATGATCTGCGTGGGCTGATTACGGGCCCCCAGACAATACCTGGGATTAAAATGTTAGTATATACACAGTATATAAATATGCACCGTTTAAATATAAATGTTGACGGGCAGAGGATGTTGGGATGAAGGGATGTAGGGATGAGGGATGTAGGGATGAGGGATGTTGGGATGAGGGATGTTGGGATGAGAGATGTGGGGATGAGGGATGTGGGGATGAGGGATGTGGGGATGAGGGATGAAGGATGTTGGGATGAGGGATGTAGGGATAAGGGATGTTGGGATGAGGGATGTGGGGATGAGGGATGAGGGATGTGGGATGTGGGGATGTGGGGATGAGGGAGGGGGATGAGGGATGAGGGATGTAGGGATGAGGGGTGTGGGATGTAGGGATGAGGGATGTAGGGATGAGGGATGAAGGGATGAGGGATGAGGGATGTGGGGATGAGGGATGAGGGATGTTGGGATGAGGGATGAGGGATGTGGGGATGAGGGATGTAGGGATGTGGGATGAGGGATGTGGGGATGAGGGATGTGGGGATGAGGGATGAGGGATGTAGGGATGAGGGATGTTGGGATAAGGGATGTTGGGATGAGGGATGAGGGATGTGGGAGGGATGAGGGATGTAGGGATGAGGGATGTGGGATGAAGGGATGTAGGGATGAGGGATGTTGGGATGAGGGATGTGGATGAGGGATGAGGGATGTTGGGATGGGGATGTAGGGATGAGGGATGAGGGATGTTGGGATGAAGGGATGTAGGGATGAGGGATGTTGGGATGAGGGATGTTGGGATGAAGGGATGTTGGGATGAGGGATGTTGGGATGAAGGGATGTAGGGATGAAGGGATGAAGGGACGAGGGATGGGGGGCTGTAGGGATGTTGAGGGAGGGAAGAAGGGATGGATGGATGTATCGCTCGGTGTGAGTCGGAAGGGGAACTGTATGGGTAGAAGGGAGAGGGAGGATGGGTTGAAAGGATGGAGACAAGCGGTGGCCGGAAGTTTTGCCGGATATAAATAGGGGTGGCCGTGGTTCGAGGTGGAGTTTTAGGCGTGGCCATGCTCCTGAACC